TGCAAGTCCTCTATAGCAGGGGTTCCCAAACTTTTGATGTAACGGAGCTCTTGAAAAGGTTGACTATTCTTCACGGAGCCCCACAAATAAATTTGGAAAATAAACCAGACAAAAAACACATCGTTATATACCGATTAATATTCTTGAGTAAGTTTTTTGTTCTCGTGGGAAATTGTGAGTTCAGTATGGAAAACAAGTTAGTATATTATAATCATCGGCGACGAGATGCTAAAAATAATTAATAAAGAGGTGAATCGGCAATACTAAAACTAAAACGGAGATAACATAATAAGTTTTGTTTTAGGGGACTCGCGAAAGATTAAAAACGCTTTTTTAGACATTGTAAATCACAAACTTTGGTGTTCAATTGTGTGCTCGATGTACCTTTCTATCCATTCTGAAACTACCGACGGAGCCAAATGCGACTTCTTTTCGATATGTGACGATATATAAGATAATTGTAAAGATTATTAATTAATTGTTATTGCGAGCAAAATACATTTCAATCTTTCATTTTATTTGTTCACTTGACTTTGTTGTTTCTCATGTGATGTCCGCGGATTGGCGTGGCAATTTTGGTTTGTAATGATTTATATTGTCGTTAGTCCACGCACCCGCAGGTTACATTGAACACAATGAAGGCAATAAACAAGGCATTTGAACATGCACGCATCGGTCAAAGATTGCGCAATTGTACTTCTTGAGATTTTAACCCCGCTGAGAGAACAACTCAAATTTGATGAATCTCAAGATCGCAAAAATACGATTCCAATTATAGTTGGTAATTGTAACCTCGAACCATAGGCAAGTAATGATAAACATAATTAAAATATTATGACACGACATTTTGAATGTTCGCATCGGCAATGGATGGAAACTCGTTACCTACTAAAACAGTTTTTTTTGACGATAGGCCTGATTGCGAATAGTGGTGCCCGGGAATTTCCAATTCCAATTTTAACCCCCCCCCTCTCTTTTAAAAAACCTGGCTGCGTTTCTGCTTATAGATAATGTCCTATTTGAACATGCATATTTCGACGCTACTGTTGTCAAATTTTATCAAACCCTGGGGCTCCGTACGGAGCACTTTGGGAACATATGCTCTATAATAGTATACTCTAGTCCAGCGGTTCCCAAAGTGAGCGAAAACGCCCCCCATGTGGGCGTTTGCGATACCTTGGAGGCGCTGAAGGCGATTTGGGCAATTGGGCCGCTGGCTGTCAAATAGGGCGATTGAGGGGAGTCGCTGACATCAATACGGGAACTCATAATAACTTTGTTTTGTTTCAAACTAATTTGCTTGTGATTTTGGTGTTGGAAATTTTTCGCTAACGTAAAATAGGTATTATGACATTTTAAAATCTGTATTGTTTCATAATAATACTTGTCTAGCGCAAACGTCATATACTTCCTTCACCATGCACTTCACGTTTCGTTGTACTGTATTGAATTACGTCTTCATTTTACTATTGGGTGATTTAAAGCGGTGAGTACAACACCCTTATGTTATAATTTTAGGATTTACAGGATAGGATTTACATATTTATCCCGGGGAGAGGAAAGCCGATAAAGCGGCTTATCCATATGGCGAACCACGGCCTCTCGTCCGGTTACCATTCCAAGTCGGGTATGGGATTAGTTATATTGTTTGTTTTCGGAAGCATGGACTTGGTGGTGGAGGAAGCCGTAACCGACCAGCGGTTACGTGAACCCCCCAACGACGGCGAGGAGTCCAGCAATCCTCTCGCACATAACCATCCCTGCATGGGATTCGAACCTGGGAACCCACGCAGAGTAATTAGAGGTGCGGTGGCGAGCGTATTCCTAACGCTTAGCCCGTTGAGCCACACCGCCGCGCCCGGTTTTGTTAAGAGCAACACGTAAGAGCTGGGCATGTGATCGAACTGACGTACGCCAAACAGGACCATCTCCATGTTGCGAATCGGTTCATTTTTATTTCTTGGGTCATTAGATAATAAGGCTAAAAATGTAATACTCAAATTGTCAAACGACGAAGATCTAGCCCAGTGATTCTCAAACTAGGGTTTGAGAGCCGCATGCGGCTCTCAACAACCTTTCCTGCGGCTTCCGTTAATGTTTAAAAAATTAATTATTTTCAAAGAAATTTTTTCATTGAAAACTAATCATTGACTCGAAATTAAAATGCTGAAGTCTATTAGTTAGTCGAATGAATTCCCCCGTGTTTATTTGCGTAGCGTTGACTAACCTATAAGATGCAATAGTGACGCGACAGTGAGCGTTTTCGCGGCCAATCGGACACTTTTCACTTGGAAAGATTTTAGACATGGCTGTAATCATTGGCTTGCTTTCGTGGATTTTCAGTTTTTGTCGCATTTCCAGATCTTATGTATAAATCAAATAACTCGATGATTATTTTAATTTCTATAGCATTTGAATTTTGTTCCAGTAATCGAAAATAGTCCCGAAAAATCTGTCGATCATCTCAAGCAGCTACTGCAGCTTGCATCCTCAACGATTACGACCCGCTTTGACAAACTTATTAGAAATCAAAGCCTAATTAAAAAGCTGTTAGGGTAGGGTGGGCAAAATTGAATCTTTTTTCGAATCGGATAATTTGAATATTTTTTTATACATAACAGGGATCCAGAACGTCGGAGGTCGATACTTCATCTGGAAATTAATAGAAACATTAAAAAGTCGGCAATAAAGCGCTTTTTAATGGTTAATTTTATCATAATTTCTGATTGTCTTTGTCACCGCGATCGTTTTGGCGGCGATATCCTAAAGTTGGTATTCTATATTTCCGCCCTTTCTCGTTTTTGCAAGAGTAAACGGTCGCCGAATATAGAAATGTCATATTTTTAGTATACCCTTGCGTTCACATCAGCGACAGCTGTTGAATACATTCAAGGACTGATTTCAAAACCAAATTAATTCTATTCTAAGGTTATCCTCTGCCTTGGATTCGATCTTCCGTATCACCGCTTGTAAATTAACCGTGCATGTTTAAAGTGAACGGTAACCGAGATGCAGATATTTATTATAATGATACTTTTTTTTTCAACGAAACAACACCCCGATGGTTATTATAGCTAAAATACGTACTGAGTAATGCTCAATTTTCTTTACGGAATTTGCAAATTCAGCACTTCACTTGATGATTTTGATTATGTCATGCCTTGAGGCTTAATTAACTGCCCAAATGCTTCAAAATTTACCAATTGTAATCATTTTCGATGATAATAGACGCAACAATTCGTGAACGAGTCAGTGTGCATTGTTACAACGAAATTCACGATTGATTTTACGTTCTACTCTTGGCTCAACGGCCATGCAGGGTCGAGTAAAATGTTTACATATTCGAAACATTACTCGGCAAAGGATGGAAGGGATCACTAAAGAGCTAATACAAAGTGCTTTAAAGGGAGTAGGACATGACATTTCTTATCTGGTTACAACTTAATGAGTGTTTTCCATACAAGTAACTCATACCAGCTTTTGGAAAACCTTTTCGTCATTTTTAAATCCATGCTATTTACATAACTAGAGTGTTTTAACGACCTAAAATCGCCCTTTTCACAATGAAACGATGAAAAGTCATTTTAACATTTAATTTTGAGCAACTTTATGTTCAGTAATGCAAGAAATGGCTAATGACATGTCACCAAGCATGCCGAGTTCAAATCTGGGAAATTTATATCAAATACCTAATGGCTAATCTGGTTTGACGTTTCTAAATTTACGGAACGGTCGGTACGTTTTTTTCTTTGCAAAATGATGAATTGAAAGGATACGTTAAGTGCAAAAATGAGCATATAACACCACAACGCAAAGACGACTTTTCAAATTTTCCTTTTTTTTCTGATAGCGTGCGCCGTTGGGAAATCTCGCACAATTCACGATTGAGTTGGAGACGCTCGAGTTCGGTGTCCAAGCAGAGTGGCGCAGGTCGCGTGGTACCGGATATTCGAATCGTAAAATGCCATTCGAATATATTATTATTAAATTATTTTGCCCAGCCCTAGTTGTTACGTGTGTTGTTGTTACAATGACTTAGTATTTTAATTACGCGCTTAAGGTTTGTTGCTATTTTACCTTGCGTTGTTTGTGTGCGGCTCTTCATACCTTTGAGGTTTGAAATGCGGCTCTGGGACTAAAAAACTTTGAGAACCACTGAATTCTAGCCTGTTGTTAGTCTCGAGCATCGACATCGTATCTTCGCGGAGCGATTGTTCGATAGGCGAGTTGAGGCTCATGCGACCGTCGGCTCACATTCGTGAATATATATGTGTTAGTGTCACCTCTAAAGGTTTTATTATGTTTAAAAATACGCATTTAAAACATTGCATATCGACAAAATTTAAAAACGCTAACAAAGGCACACAGTCGTTTAACGTCAGTTGTCTAACATCGTTAAGGTTACAACAGGACCCAGTTTCCTATGTAGACTGTATTTGTGTAACATGAGCAAAATATTGTATGTCACTTTGCACATAAAAATGCCAATGTGAGAATACTAATTTGTTTTTCTTGCCATCAGAACTCTGAAAAGATCGAAATTACACACCTGCAGTCTTAAAACGTCGTTGTAGAAAATGCGACAAGAGTCCTCTGGATGATGAATTGTCCGGATAGTCGAATTGTCCGCCTCCCATGTACCGTATGTATCGAATGTATGCACCGTAAGGTACGACGGTACCGTACCCTTTACACCAAATATAAGTTAATTTTGCAAGTTATCAGTCACCAGTGGTACCGCCTACCGGTACTGTACCAACCACGGTCGCGACATCGACTTTTTGGGGTCAGGTTATTTCCTGAAGGTTTACTTAGTGTACAGATGAATGCTTAACAATAGACTACACACACTACCGGTACGGTAACAGTTACCGGTACCGGTATTTCTAAACTATTCAGCACTTACTCATAATTATGTCAGTCCGGTACAGTACCAGACCCCATACCTCTGTACCGGTACCGATACTGCCATACCGATGGCGACAGGCTATCGGTGTGTCTTGAAATGGGTATGGTAAAAAAGTTGACAGATGAGAACATTTTGATGATAGATAGTCTTATTACTTCAGTATTAAACTCTTGATAATTACAGAATTTACACAGCAATCAAACATTCTGACATTGTTATGCTTTTGTATAAACCACAATGAATTTCCCAGTACTACATGCCTCCTTGCAGCATGACTTATCTGGATCGTTACCAAGCAGTGTCTTTGCTGCATTGAAGCCTCCACCACATTCCTCAACCAGCAGCACATCCAGCGATGTTGATTTACAAATTGTTGGAGGTGTTTTGAAAGGTGACTAAATGCAAAAAAATTTTACTGGAAAATGTTTATGAAAAAATATATGTTCAACTAACAACTTGCATCTTTCCCTAGCTCGTCTAATGCTTTGTATTAATCTTTCTTGTTCAAAATTTTATTACACATTAAATTGTCAATCTGATATTTATAGTCTATGTCTATGGTGTATGAAAAGTTTATCTGGAGTCATTTTCATTTCAGATACATCTTACTCGTGGCTTGCAAGGGGGTCAATGTTTGTAGTCATCAATTCAAAAACGAATTCAGTTGTTTCGATATTTGACTTCAATCGTTCATTTCCTGAATTGAGATTCATAGTGACATCATGCTGTGTAAGTTGAATCATTATAAAGGGAACTATGTTCGAATACTTTTATATGATTTATGCAACTTTTTCATTTAGAATAATTCAAATCAATCAGTTAAGAAGCAAAATAATGATAAATTCATATTTTTACACTAAATACATAATGATTTCATCAAGTTTGAGTACTAAAATTATGATTCAAAATATAATTTGTATTCCTAATTCAAGTGAATTTCTTTGCATGTTTTCAATTCTATATTTTAAACCAACTTAATTTATTAGTAACTTTTTATCAAAGAATATATGTTATTATTCCAATACAAACTGTGCATACTTTCTGAAATGATAGAAAGCAAAATTTGTGATAATTACATATGGCAATGCTCTTCTATATCTCGCCAATACTGGAAAACTATTATCGATATATGCAGATATAACTCACATCATATATTTTCTTAGTTTTTTAAAACTTAATTCATTTTATAAAATTCCCAATTTCAAACAAGTTAGTGAATTACGAATTATAATTTAAATTACCGGTAGTAATTTTACAGCATGACATCCGATCCTAAAATATATTATTATGAACGAATTAAAAAATTTCCTTCAGTCATGTGATGATCTTCTCATTGTTGGATTAAAAGGACAAGATGGTAGAGGATGTGTTGCACTCTATAAGCCACGCATATCGAAGCTGGTTAAAGCCATTGATATACCTTATTCAGTGAGTCATCTTTCAATTATTTTAAAATATTGAATTTATTGTGCATTAGGCCCTATATGACATAGAACATACTCCAATCATAATTTAATAGCAGGCTATTGATATTGAAAAAAAGGTAAATCCCAACTCTGGAATAACAAGGTTTCGACTAATTGCTATAGAAAGTTACTAGGCTGGTTAATAAATGAATATATCGTAAACTTTTTTATGATAATTACTTATTTTCTGATTTTATAGTGCAAAATACTTTTTTGTACTATTGGGAGTTTTTTGATAGAAATATGTCATAAAAGTTGAGACTTCTCCTAAGCTTATCAATCAGTGATATATATAGACTTCATAAATCACATTTCGTAACAAAAATATCTGGTAAATCATCAGTCACAGACATCTCACTGTACCTTATTGTATTAGAGTTATTATTCTCAAATTATGTTAATTCAGGTTACAGCAGTTGAAGTTGTAGCATGTCGAGGAGGAGCTTTGTCATCTTTACATTCTTTATGCAAAAGTTTACGATGGTTGTTTGGTATTGTAGCTGTTGGAACTGAGGAGGGACATTTGTATTTACTTGATTTAAAGTGAGTTGTGTAATATCATTTCTAGAGCTCGACCGATATATCGATCAACCGATATTGCGGGCAAGCGCTGGGCTGCGGGCTTCGACTACTCTCGCCGTGCATAACTGGTTTCAATAAGCTAGTTTGTTAATTTTCTGTCAAGGTTGGTGGTTGGCGTGTTGTGTCGGTAAGAACACACGTGACATCTCACTTTAAATTACTCAGCGTGGGATTGCTGGACTCCTCACAGTCATAGGGTGGTTCACATAGCCCAAATATACAAATTAACATCTTCTTTACTTCATTCATTTAGGTTTGACAGTCCAGGGAATGTTGATAATTTGCCATCACAAATGGAGATAGTTCCACCTGCACTGAAAAATGTTCCTAAAACAAGAGAAATGATTGTTGGATATGACTCATTTTTAGCTTTTGAAATGCAAGGTAGGATTTCCGAATTATGGAATGGTTTTCACTGTTCACTCTTTCTTCTTCACTCTTTCACTGTGTTGATAATTAATTTAAAATCCCTGGATAAAAGGTAATTAAGGAAATATTCTTTATTTTTATTATGACTAGTATCCTGCTTTTGTTGTTTGGAGTTATGGGTTAACCCCACATGGTGTTTGAAATGCCAATGGGTCAACAGTGTTGTTCTGAAATGAAAAAAAATTTCTAATTTTTACTTCCGAAAGCAAGTAATATAGATTGGACAAATTATATAAATTTTCTGTTTTGGACATGTGCTCATCTATATATATAGCCTTCTAATAACAGTAGTTCCACAGAAACACACACTTCGATCAGCATTTCAGCATAGGATAAATAATGTAGTTAATGTCTTTTATTTCTCATATTATTCATCTTCTGGGTTCAATAAAGGGTTATAGGGGTCCTTGTGGCTTACTTAGACCTTGCTGCGATGCACTATACTAAACGAAACTACGAGTTTGATCATAGCTTTATAAACAGGATTTTTCTAATAATATTTAGGTAATATTTTCTTGTACAGCTGCTTGTCATGAGGAAGGTGTTTTTCATTATGCTCAACCAGATGACGAGATTATCGAATCATTTTATCCATCAGATGCTAATATAACAACTATTCTGTACGAACCAAGAACAACATCATTATTTGTTGGATTCAACTTTGGACAATTTCAAATATTTTCTCTTCAGAATATGACTCTTGTGTGAGTTGTTTGACAAATTCTAATATAGGGCTCATAATATTTGTTTTTATCTTTTCCTTTCATTATGAGTGAGATATACAGCAATAATTATGTTAACATTAGTGACATATTTTCTGCAAACTGGCATATAAATGAAACAGATTGGTCTGGACCAGAGGTTCCCAAGCTTTTTTCAGGACGACCGCAAGGACAACTTTTAAGTGTCCAGTGCGACCCCAGGTCAATATATATATATTTCATGAAACTTTAGAGCATCTTCCACTGGACTTTTGAGTTTGATCATGTGGTGGTATTGAGTAAAATAAGCTAAAACCAAACAGTGATGTCAAAATAAGCACCTACATTTTCTATATCATAAGCATAGAGCGATGCTTATGAGCCTGTTTTACAGCAAGCCATGGTACAAACTGCTAAATTTAACATAGTTTGTCAAATCGTAGATGATTTGTACATCCATCCTCTACCATACCTCAGTGACCCCATGACCTGTTTGCGACCCTACCTACGGTTCTTATCACCCCGACCCAATTTGGGGTCGCGACTCCTGGTTTGGGAACCCATGGTCTGGGCAGAAGTAATAGTAATTCATTTGTCAATCATCGAAATTAGGATAAAGTTAACTATAATTTGATAGGATATTGTACATATAGGCCTCCAGTATACCACATGACACAGTTAATTCAAAATTGGTTATATAATATTAGTGGTTATATACACAATTAATATTATTGAAAATTTTTTTATTTGCAGCCATAGCAGTGATTTACAAGAAAATATTGCGCCTGTTTTGAGATTCTCATTTCAAGAACCGGAGAATGATCCTCGCAAGTTCTGTTATCTTTGGGTGGCAAGGGGTCATAAACCTGGTGATATTTCATCTAATGGGTTAGTTCAAACTTATTTGAACGTAAATTAGTTTGAACTTTAAAAGTCATCCTGTCACAATATAAGGAAATCTATTAGAATGTACAAATGTTCCTATTTGGCATCAGTGCTCATAATACCCTAAATTATCGACCACTTTTTTTATTTTGTATCTTGTTCTATCGTTCCATTTTGTGTTCTTGAGATTTTAATGGAAATATTGTAGGTGTTTTGTACATTTGCTATCTGCTTCATCCATGTCTCATTTAAACCCAGGCAACACGTTTTTATTTCTAGGAATTCTAGGAATTACTTTTTTATTTAATGTGCCATTTTTTAGGCGAAATTACTATTTCTGTAATTTGTGGGGTGAAATTTGGCATTTATTGTGGCTTATTACTATTATTATCATGTTGCAAAATAGTATAATTTGGATAAATAATTAAATATAATAGAATTCTAGAATAAATATTTGGATAAAATTTTTATAAATGTTGATACTTTTTTTAGAAATTCTGAGCCATTGACTCTTTGCATGTTTCAACTCATGTTTATAAAGAAAGAGATTCCAAAAAAATCTAAACAGACAGATAAAAAATCAAACCACCCATTTGCAAGAGTTCTCTATAAAGATTTGGAAGGTTGTAATTTGAGGTTCAAGCATTGTCTAGGTACTGGCCTTCTCTCAAATGTATCAAAATGCTGCGGTTCTACGCTGTTGATGTGTTCTTCTATCGGTATGTACACCCCTACATTCTTAAATAATTTATTCGTTGGGTTTCTTTGGGAATGAGCATTAATAATTAATGGAATTGCACATTGTCTTTATCTATCGTGAAAATTGTTAACAAGGTATAAGACTGTGTTTTCTGCATTGGTGGACTAACTGTTCTATTGTTTCATAGTGAAGTTTAAAACTGTTCTTTCGCAATCTGTAGGTTTGGTGAGTGAGTAGTTAAAGCATTAATAATAAACTCAACTGTAAATCCATGATGGCATCACAGGTTCAAATCTCGAATCCCATTCTCAACACCTTATCCATTCTGTAATAAATTTGATAAGTGAAGCCGAACTGGATAGATTTCTATTTTTCCGAACTATAGTAGCTTATTACTTAGCAGTGCTGCTCAAACACAATTTGTGATATTGTTCGTGGAAGAATTGATATTGTAATCAGAAATGAGTTTTTATATTTTTTCACTTTTATTGAAAAAACACACACAAATAAATATGATATAATGTATATATATATTTATATATAAACAGAAGAATTTGCTCCAGAATTGGATCGACAAGATCAGATGGAAGATTATGTTGAATATTGTGCCAGTCCATCGAGCAGTTATTGTATGTTTGGTTGGAAAAGCCTACAAGGTTTGTTTCATATTTTATCGATTATTTTTTATGTACCGGTATATATCAATCATTGTTTTTAAATGCAATAAGAAAATCTTAAGATGATCTTCACTTTCTGTTGTTGAGGTGCTCTCGAAAGTTTTCTACTCTTTGTCGTATTGCGTCGATCAGATCAACTTCTGCATGAATTAAACATATATAAAATGATAATCAACTGTAAGGATAGAATTTAGAGTATTTTGTTTATAGCACAAAGGCAATACAGCACAAAATGTACTATGTAGAGCAGGCCTGCCCAACCTTTTTCGTCTCGCGGGCCACTTTCACGTGACAAAATTCGTTGCGGGCCACAAACGTTTGTACTAAACATTAATATCAGCTAAGTCGTAATTTCGCTGTAGGTAATTCACATAATACATAAAAGGCAAGTTTATTAACATAAAATCAATTAATTTAATAATTGCTTTCTGGTTACTGAGTCGGACAGGCAAATTATACGATTATCAAGTCGAATAGAAGAGCAGGTTACTGTTCGGATATCTGGTAACATGGGGCTAGACTTGACACTTGCGGTTTTTTGACTTGCACACCAGAACACACACATCACGTCGAAATTGAGTGTTATATTCGCGTATTCTTTTTTTTCCAGTAGCTATGATACTGCCTCAATGTTCAAATGAGCATAATGTGCCCCAATGTCTCGGGAATATCAAGTTTAAGTGGGCAGTTTCGTGCAATTTGAAACACCAATACAAGTATTTAATGAAGTAACATTACAAAGATTTCTGGACTAATAGCCTATATATACTGATTTGTAACCAATATGCAGCAATGCCATTAAGTCAATTTCATCAGAAATATTGGCAAATAGACAATGACGATTTCCGAAATCTTATTTAACCCAAACATCAAATAAAAAAAATACAAACATGAAAGGACAAAGAGTCCCAGGACCACTAAGTACCAAAGATATTGTTGACTTTTTATTTAACGCTAGCGATAAAGACGATCAAAGCAGACACGTAAGAAACAATCAGAATGAAATTAATTTGCAAATTCAGGATCCAAATTCATTCCTATAATTGCGCTCAGCGTTCTTCCTCAATGATCGCACAATATCTTTCGAGTTCCTGGAACAGAACGCTCAGTTTGGCGAGAAATAAAAAACTGACGTCGATGTCCACCAGGGTGCAAGACTTAGTAATAATAAGAACCGGCATTTGAATGTAGATAGATGGCAGGAATATTCACATCAATATCACGAAACATACTTAAGCCTATATATTGATATATAACATAGAATAAAAATAAAAAATCTGCTTACAAACTTTATTTACATTTATTTATTTACATTCATTTATTTACAAACTTACTTACGGGCCGCAAAAAACAGTCCGACGGCCGCGGGTTGGGCAGTCTTGATGTAGAGCCACTTCCTATTGTCAGTTCTAGTCAGTTATGCTTATCGTTTCATCAAATTGTTTGGATGTGGTAGGTGAAGGAAGTAAAAATACACTTACAGAAAATATGCTAACTAAATTAACTTATTAACTGTCACGCAATGGGTAGTCTTAGCTGAGCTACTTTGTAAATTGTATTTCACTAGTCTTTTAGTCACCTAAAGTAGAATACATAATCCTACCTCGTCCACCGGTACGCATCTTCCATATTTCGAGCATTTCCAACTTTTGTTTCATGAAGTTATCACGAAAGTCTACTTCTATTTCTATCACTTCTTCCATGCCCAGTTCCAGTCCATGCGAGGAGAGTGCAAAGTTTGTCCATGCACCAGGGCCAAACTCATTGATGACTTCATTCAAAAATACGTCAATCAACCTGACAGGTTGACAGACATTTGAAAAGTCTGATGCTGTTTAGTATATTGAAATATAGATCAATAAAAAGCATTTACCGGTAGTAGTATTCGATCAAAATTTACAGATCAAGTTTGAGCATTTTTAAGCAGTATTAAGTATAGCGATACCTGCCCCATTTCTTCGAACCATATGCTGTCTCCACTGCAAAGTATCAGCTGGTGTGCCTTCTTTCTCCACATCAAATTTAATAGTTATGTATTCTTCATCTCTTGTAGAGAGTGGCAAAACAAAGTTTTTCTTTCTGATCCTGTGGTTTGTAAAGTCTATATTAAAAGAGTATTGTTCTGTTGGTGAGAATTCATTCTCTGCTTCTCGTTTCCATGAGATAGACGCTCTGATTTTCTCTCCATTCTTTACTTTTATTGGATTAGGACAGGCCATTGTGGGATAAAATCCTTGATTTTTCAACTCGGTTTTCCAGGAATTTTTGATGACCCTATCATCAATATATGCTACATAGACATAGTTACCATCGTCACTTCCCCAGATTGCAGTAGCCATACGGACTACGGTATTCCACATTTTTTGCGAAGAGTCTTTTTAGTCGAATCATAAAATCGCTAAAATGATTTGCCTCAAAAGCAATGCTGTTTCCAATGTTTTTCAATTTGGCCTTCTCTATGTTACACCATTCTACGTCTTCGTCACTTCGATACATTATTTGAACTTCGATCTGTGTGGTATCAAGATCAACTCCACACCATGTTGGAATTAGAAATTTTGCTGGTTTTTTGAAGTGAGTCGGTGGCGTACATGTCATAATTGTGCTGATTGATGTGAATTCTTTTTCCACAGTGTCATTGTCAATAGAAAGGCTAACATGAAAATGTTTAGGGTCATCAAGTGCCATTCGTGGAATTTTCACTTCACTGCGATTCATGCACAATCTTCCTCCTTCGGCCCCGATCCAATGATCTTAAAAATTCGCAATAATTATATAGTATTGTAGTCGTGTTTAAAAGTAGTGATGGAATTGTATATAAGAAATTTAATTAAAATCTTTCCTATTTATTGGAGACATATTATTGCTGAATTAATAATTAAATCAACCATTTGTTGTGTTTCATTAACTTTGTGATTTTAACTTTTTTCAATGTTTAAGGTTTTCTGAATTAGCCTACCTGGAATATCGATCTCCCTTTGAGCATATTTCATGTAACTGCTATCCTTTTCCAGCTTCTGCATCAAAGACTTTCGATTGCTTTCATTTATCCAGTCTTTACTTTTGCTATATACCGAAAAAGCTGCACCATAGGCCGAAAATGCCTCGCTGTACTTTTTGCTAATTTGATATGTTTTTCCAATATTGTGGAATGCAAATCCGAGAATTTTTTTCTTTTCCGCTTCATCACCCACTACTTCAAGTAAAATCATGGCGACATTTTGATTTATTTCATTCATCAGTGTAAAATCATGGTATTGTCTGGCCAGATCTCCAATTAATATAAGGTTGTGAGAGTGCCACTCCGCTTGAAATTTCTCATCCATTTTTGAGATGTCGATTTCTGCTAATTTGTATAGTTGTTGCATTCTGTTTTCTAAAATAACTTCATCAAGTTTTTTATTCAATTCTGAGTGCTTTTGTAGGCTTTCTGCTGTGTGTGACAGGCATTTCATTATGTCAGAGGCCCTTTGTGTAATCTCTAGGCGGTTGGTCAGCTCATTATAGATATCATGAACATCACTGCTTTCTCGATCTATAAATGCTGAAATAATGATATATATTTACCTAAATATTACATCAAAAATAATGGATTTCCTAATATTGTCTCACATTGTAATAATGTGTGTGATAGCATAATCATGCATGATACATATATTATTTAAGTTTCCCAGTTGGTGCGTATATGCAGTTTTGCTACTACTAGTTTCTTCAGAATTTTCGAATTTGTTCACCCATTCATGAGCAAAAACATATCATACAATTATATTTGAGTAATATATTTTGCCACAAACCGTTGCTGCATATTATTACCTTTATCAATAGTGTAAGTCTCTGTGATGATCTTTTAATATATTTTAGTATTTTATAGGATGTGGGGTTTAATTGATATAATAAGCAAGAGTAATTTATTCACTCACTTTCTTTTGTGTTCTCTGAATATTCTTTGCCATCATTATCATCATCTAGAATTGCAAAATGTTATTCTTATTGGCTGTACGTAACATTGTCAAATGAATTCATAAAACATTTTGAAATATTCTTATGATTGTTTTTTTCATTATATTTTTAAAATTGACGTCAAATTTTATGTGACTCGTGATGATGGATTAATTTTTCAAGTTTCTCTTAATACTATCAAATTCAGAAGATGTTTATTTTGCTTAAAATAATAATAATAAACTAAGGGAATCCATGTTTATGCCACATCTTTCAGGTATCAGTAATCAATTGGTAAATGCTAATTATGCTACGAGTACCATATCTATCATTTTCCAAACTCAGTCTGGGAGAAATACTGCAATATTTGACAAATAAGCCAATTTTTTGAACCAAATTTTCTGGCCTGATTTCAGGCTTCGGCCCGTCACTCTTTTGGCCATTATTAGTTTTGGTCTTATTATTAGTTTGGGGCCAAAAAAGCGAGGCGATAGCATACCTTTATTGGCACTTTCCATGAATCGGAAATCTCATGTTGCCACTTTACATGAGCATCATGAGCAAGGGCAACTGATCACACCATATGTAGTAAATCATAAAAACATAGCGCTTTTGCTTTAAAAAAGGTTGGTAAAAATGGTGAAAATATGGTTTCATCAATAGCTTTAACAAATACCTTCAAAGTTTCTTTTGTTAAAACCTTTTATGTAGTAGTCGATGGAGTCATTAGGTAGAGATTGTCTCCTTCTGAATTTAGCTTCGTTTATTCCAAGAACTCCTGCTTGCTGGTTAATTCTGGCTAATTTTCTTAATTTATCTGAAGCAACTTCAAGCTTTTCAGCCATAATTATCTTCTCTGATACACTTCGTAATCTGACGATTTACAGGTTTGGTGCTCCTGTTTATATTCTTCATATCACACTCGCACAAAGATGTTTTTTGGTTCTTGTTTGCATTTGTTTTCCCCCTTTTGTATAAGTTTCAGTTTCAATGTTTACTGTAACTTGTTGTAGCGTTGTTTTCTTACTCTCTTTTTATCTATCTCAGACATTGTTTAGGTAATATTTTTCCCTAAATAAGATATCTTTTGTTCAGGCAGTTTCTATTGTGTTTATTCTATAGTCTTCACTGGGCTTCTGCTTTGCACAATTTTTATTGTGGGTAATTGTATTGCACTCATGTTATTCTTATGAACAGATACTTTCTATCTCATTGATATCATCTTTTGAGTGTTATGAATGTCACAAATTTTCCATTCTACTGTGGACTGTTCAAATTATGTAAACAATTAAAAAGTACCTACCGGTACTCCTAGCTAGCGTTTCTCAAACTTTTTTTGTCTCGAAACACCTACGCTTTTTATCTCACCTCGCAGAACACAAATAAAATTAGAAAGTAAAATTGCTTATAAAAAATTGTGTGATGGATTCACTTTGTGCATTAACTTGCACAACTGGCTTACCGTGCCATCTTATGATGCTTCTAGTTTTAAGCCAACAGTCCATTGAGAAGGGTGATTTTCAAAAAATTTAGCCTATGGTAAAATTAAATAGTTTGCTGTAAAATTGACAATTAAAACATTAGGTTGGCAGGTAACGATAATGAACGGTTGAAGAAATGCCATGCTTTCCAGACTGGTATGAGGCCTATCCCTCTGTTTAGAGGGCATTGCCTGTCCGCCAGTTTGGATACAAATTTACGACCCAGAGGCGCCGAAGTATGGTTGAGATAGCTATGGTGACCAATTTAGTCGCAATATGATTCCTGTGTCGTGAAACACTCCGAAGAAGCTCGCAGAACACAGTTAGAGAAACAATGCCTTGAGCAGTACAGATAACATTACCCCTAAAAGGTCGATCTTCTCAACTTTAAAGGCTGTATACAAAACTATTACCATCATTTTGATGACTATGTTTACATCAATTACCATTTATTGAAATTAAAGCTCTTACAAATATTCAAAATGTTTTAGAGTTGAAAAAAAACGTGTAAGATTCAGTTCAGTTCATAATTGTAGTTGTTCAATTATAACGCTTTGTCCTATTAATAATGATAGCTATTGAATCTCCACTCTTCTTGTTAATATCATGATGTCCTGTTGTTTTGCAATCTAGTAGTTGGTATGCGATAGTTTTTCACAATGCCACGTATTTTCACGATTAACATTTGTTCATCTGTATATTAAGAAATTTTGTTCTTCAAATATGCAACACGTTTCTAAAAATTTGAAAATCTGAATTTGAGTTGAATTCGTTCTATGTTGAAGTTACAATATCCTTCTTACTGAGTGAATGATAATATATTTGTCAGTAGATTTCTTTGGGGGAATATTATTGTTGTATCAAATTTTAACATTCAATTGTCAAATATGTCTCCATTCTGATATTTTCCTAAATTTATCTCATACATGAAGATATGCAGACTAAATTCTCGGAATTAGTTTAATTTTAATTCCAAGTAAATTATGATGAAATCAACATGTAGGTCTAGTTTTAAATTGTAAATTGTATTAATTTAGCTCAAAACTTTTAAATTGATGAAAACTAAATAGGCCTATTGAAAAAAAAAATTAAAATCTCGAAAGAATGATTTTTATTAATTGTATATAGTAAGTAAGAATATAAATGTGTGAATTTCATGAATTGGTTGGAGGTGTAGCGAGTAGAATTTCTCTTAGCACTGTCTCTAGCTCCATCTGATATGGTAAGCTTGGCTTTGGCTTTCGGTTCAAGCTCCGATGTCTCAGCCGTACTTTTGGCCTATCTATTTAAATAATATAATTACTATTATATGGTACCTTCAGATCCAATTTTATTTTTCCACAATATTAGCATTTCCAACTTTTGCTTTTCAAAATGTTTCTCGAAGTTGTTTTCAATTTCTCTTATTTCTATGGGACTTAGTGCCAAGCCACTACAGGATCCTGCAAAATCTTTCCAAACTTGTGGAGAATCAAACTCTTTGGTGATTTCATTTTTGAAGACATCAATTAGGCTTTCTGTTGCTGCAAAGATAATAAATATACAGCAATATGGTTGAGGAACCTGATAAGACTAGGGTGCTATTTAATCGTGTATAGTGGTCTCATAGTTAATGAAAATTATAGGTTAAGCTAACCAATAAATTGTTCTAGCTATATTGACTTTTATGGGTTCAGCAATATCCAAACACATAATCATCTCCAGCAGGATTTGAAAATACATACCTATGTTAATCAATGTAAAAATAAAGTAATGATTGCTGATTAAATAAAGTAGATCTAGTAGCCAAGATCTTATGTAGAGTTAATTCAATGCTGTGTAGTTTGGGATGCTTTTATTGATATTGGAGTCAGTGTTCAAATTTTCTTACAGAAACTCGAAAATCAGCAGCTATTGTTTGATATTTGAAAATTTTATGAATTGAATTACAAAGATTCCTACATGTTGTTTGATCCATAATAAATGGTACAGCTGATAGCTCCTCGTTCCATTTTTTTTCATAGATCTCCTTATTGCTTTTCTTGTCATTTTTTTCAACCTCTTTCTTATTGTGCTTAATTTCGCACACTACTGTAGTGAGTTTTGCAGTGGAAGGTGCAGTTTGCACGAGAGCGAAGTTTTCGAAATGAAAGTATTCCTTGGTAAAATTGGTTGTAAAAGATATTGGAGTCGCAGGGTCAAATTTGAATTCAGGAGATTTGCATTGAAAATGAACCTTTATTTCATCATCATTTCTAACTATAATATTATTGAATTGTTCCTGTGCAGCTGTGTACCCTGAGGCCTCGAGTTCATTTTTCCATTTCTTTCTTATGCTTCCATTCTTTATGTATGCTATAAAAGTATAGTTTCCCACTGGATTTTTCCACACACTCATAGCCATTTTGTATTTGAGTAGTTTGCTAAAAATGTTTTTCACTCTTATATGGAAGTCTGTGAAGTGCTTTGCTTCAAACGAAATATCACAACAGATATGTTTTAAATCTTTTCTTTCTAATAAGCTCCAATCTGAACTACCCTTCGGTTTGTAACATATTTGTACTTCAACATAATCTTCATCAGCTCCACACCATGCAGGAATTGACATTTTAACTGGCAGTTTGAAGTTGGTTGCAGGTTCGCAACTCAATATTGGGCTTATTGAAATCATGTCATCCCTGCTTGCATTGTCAAGTTCTGATGATACTGTAAATTTCTTAGTTTGATCTAGAGCATTTCTAGGTATTTTAACTTCACAGCACTCCACGTTTAGACGCCCACCTTCCAGTCCTATTAACACTTCTAAAAAAAATGTACGGTATTTGTTTTGATATGACTGAGGATTTTTCAAGTGTTTTAGGGGATTGACCATTATTGAACAGGTTTTTCGTTAATCAATTTAGCTATCAATTGTTTCGTAATCGATTAATACACAAAGATGCATACATGCAATTGAAGATTGCTTACATGCAATCTATACACGGAAGGGCCAGATACAAATAACTGTGTGAAAACCAAGACACACCCTTAATAACATAGACTTTCTGGTAATCTTTACAGAATTTTGGTTATCGATCTCAGACATGCGCTGTTCGCTTCACACAAGCTAGATGTTAGGGCATTTTAACGTCATTCATCATAGCCATAGCTAATAAATTGGACTCAAGTATGAGCTTTGATATGCAAATGATTGGAATTACCCGCACATATCAGATTGAACTGAATTGAAAACTCGTTTCGCGGGCTGCTCACCATTCATAATTGGAACTTATCCACGGACCACACAATTTTTGTGGGTTGATTTGCACACCCCTGCTGTAGATCTAGAAATAATTTCCAAATTACCAGGTCATTATACCTGTTACATCTTGTCGTCTTTGCATTAACCTCACTGTTTTAGAACTCTGTTCCAATTGCATGCTGAGTGAAAGTTTTGTATTTTCATTCTTCCAGTCACTACTTATATTGTAGACTGCAAGGGCAACTTCATAATATAAAAGGCATTGTTCATATTGCTTTCTACTTTTGTAATAAGTTGCCATATTATGAAAGGCTATTCCATATGCTTGTTGCTCCAACGCAGTTTGACCATAAACTTCATTTACTAATATAATTACATTTTGATTTATTTCTTTATATAGTTTATGTAGATGATTGTATCCAGCCAAGTGAGAAAGTAATAAAAGGTTGTATGTTGTCCATTCTGTATAGAATTTGATGTCATCATCCGGTATCCGGTTATCTAGTCTGAAATATAGTTCCGCCAGTACAGCATTCAGTGTGTTGTTTTGTATGGTAGCTTTGACTTCGGCAAACTGTTGCAATTGCTCTGTGACACCTTTTATATATGTCAGTGTATCTTTCATCTCTGCACTCAAGTTTATCTGGTTTCGATATGTTGAATTCCCCATGTGTTTTGATAACTGACTAAGAACAGTATGAACATGTTCTTCATGTTTTATTGAACATCCACCTGCAAAAGTTAAAGTTAATTTTGTCCAATTCTTGATAAACATCATAATTAAATTATGATTAATGATCGACCTGATGGTTCCTCATGTACTTCTTCATCTGTCTCATCATCTGAGTAGTTCGACGACGCAAATTCTTGCTGACCTAATGATTTACAATTACCTTATCAAGGACTTGGATATATATAGGCTATAGGCTATTTTAAATTGAAGGTCATGGAACAATTTTGTCTGTATTTTTTTTATTCTTAAATTTGCCCTTTTTGTATTGACCGTTTATGAAATCACCTAGGGTTAGAAAATTTTTCTACGTTCCAGAAAATTCGTTGCAGGATATTTTGCTGCATAGGTAAAATCGTCGCAGAGGCATTTTTCAGTTAAACAAAAATTTGTGGTAGGTTTTTAAAGTACTCTTTTATTTGAAAAGATTCATTATTTAAGAGCATCATATCCTAACCTTGTGCGGCGAAATTCCTGCATGATTTTTCTAGGCTATGACGAACTAGAAATTACAGCTATGCAAAGTCTTGTTTAGTTTGCGAATGTGAGCATTAAATGCAGATAAATGCTAGTTGCTACGACTCTGGACCTGGTATGATCGCCTGTTATAACAATCACAGCTAGAAAAAAACAAACAATATCTTACCTGTTATTCCCAAGTCTTCCAACTTATTTACAATCTCGTCCACATTTGTAGGACTTTCATATCTATATTTGTCAAACAGCTCTCGCAAAAACTTTTCATGATCGATATTTAGTTGCACAATTCCTTCATGAGTCATACTTAGTTATACTAATTATTTGTTATCTAGCAAATTAATTCTGTAAATCAGTCTCAGTGTTAATCTATGTCAGTTGCTATGACTTATCCCTTCACATTGTTCAAAACTATATGATCTTTGTTGAGTCTTCAGTTTTAAAGTATCATCTCAATTTAACACAAGCTGTATGCACAAGTGTCATATGAAATTATGAAAACAATTCGAAATAGTCATTTAATTTTTTATCATTCATATTTATGAAATTGACATCAAATTTCATTTGATTTTTTTTTTGATTTTTTTCTAATAATACAAAATTCAGAAGACGTTCATTTTGCTCAAAAGTATTTAAAATAAACTGAGGAAATCCCTGTATTGGTCACATCTTTCAAGTATCAGTGACTAATAAGTTGATTCTATGAGTTCCATATCCTACATTTTACTAATTGCGTCTGGGAGAAATACTGCATTTTTCGTCTAATGAGCCGGTTTTCTGTCCCCGTTTTCATGGCCTTTTTTTCAGGGATCTGCCTCTTTCTCGTTTCTGGGATTTTCTAATTATTAGCTTTGGACCAGACAGAGGAGACACTAACATGCTTTCATTGCCAGTTTTCGTTAATCTGCACTCTCATATTGCCATTTTGTGTGTCCATCACAAGCAAGAGCAACAGATATCATCATGTGTAGTAAATCATGAAAACAAGGCGCTCTGGTTTAGGCGCGTGTTAAAAATGGTGTGAATATGGTTTTCATCAATAACTTTTACAAGTACCTTCAAAGTTTTTTTTGTTAAAACCTTTTATGTAGTATTCAATGGAGTTATCAGGTAGAGATAGTCTTCTTCTAAGTTTTGCTTCATTTATTTCAAGAACTCCTGCTCGCGGGTTAATTCTGGCTAATTTTCTTAATTTATCTGAAGCAACTTCAAGCTCCTCAGCCATAATTATGTTCTCTGTTACACTTCGTAATCTGACGATTTACAAGTTTGATGCTGGTCTTTATCACATTCACACAAAATTTTTTATTTGTTCTCTCTAGCATCTACTTACGCTTCCAGTATAAGTTTCAGTTTTAATGTTTACTGTAACTTGAAAATTGTTTTCTTTTATTATATCTATCTCAGACATTGTTTATGTAATAATTTTCCATAAATTAGATATCTTTTGTTCAGGCATTTTCTATTGTATTTTTTCTATAGTTTTCGCTGGGCTTCTGCTTTGCACAATTTTCATTGTGTGATTGTATTGTGATTCGGTATGTTATTATTATTATTATGAACAGATACTTTCTATCTCATTGATATCGTCTTCTCGAGTATTATGGTTTTCTCAAATTTTCCATCCCACTCTAGACTGTTCAAACCTCATAATCAATTAAAAAGTAACTACCAGTACTTTTTAGCCATGGTTTCCCAAACGTTTTGAGCTACCCCTTTTTTGTGAATCTTAGTTTTGACAGACCCCATCATATGTAGTATCAATTTCTGTGCATAACTAACGTAGAAAGATAATGATTCATTTACAATACAACAACACAAACAACCCTAATGTGATGGATCAGGTTGCTTTTCACTGCACAAGTTATCGATTCCCGGATCAATTTATGACTCGTAGGTCCGACTTTACAGCAAGTCATCATACCATATTTTGTCATCATATTGGTAAGAGCTGCAAATGCTGCCTCACACATGTAGGTCGTTTCAAAAGTCAATGAATTTTCAATTGCCTTTTCTGACAGCAATAGATGTTTGTCTGCAACGCTCAGCCCAAAATAGGCAATGGATTTTTGATTGAAATCAATTTTCATATTGTTGTGGTCTTGTGGACCCCCTGTGCAGTCCTTTTGGAAGGAAGTTTGGGAAACCTTAACTCAATTGAGCAATACAGATAACATTTGCCCTGAAACATCTCAACTTTAAAGGCTGTATAAACTGTTACCATAATTTGGTAATATTTCTTTGGCATCATAACTATGCTTACATCAATTACCATTTATTGAAATTAAAAACTTATACAAACATTAAAAATGTCCTAAAGTTGAAAAATAAAAGTTGTGGAATTCAATAATAATGCTTTGTCTTATTCATGATGATAGCTATTAAAACTTCACTCTTTTTGTTCAAATTAGGATGTTCTGTTGTTCTGCAATCTAGTAGTCGGTATGCGGTAGTTTTTCACAATGCCACGTATCTTCACGATCAACATTTGTTCATCTGTATATTAAAAATTTTGTTGTTCAAATATGCAACACATTTTTCCAAATATTTGAAAATCTTAATAAGTAAAATTAAATTCGCCCATTGATAATGTTACAGTATACTTCTTACTAACTGAATTATAATGTATTTGTTGGTAGTTCCTGTTGAAGGATTATTATTGCTATATAAAATTTTACCATTCAATTGTCAAATTAGAAATGAGGAATGAATTTCAATGGCGCTCCCATAGTATGTGCACCAAGATGGTGGACACAGGAACGTATTAGGTATACCAGGTTAGGGTTAGGACATAATTTTATTCTAATTTTTCCTTGTTCTAGTTCTATTATGAGTTCAGGTACTAGCTAAGTGACTCCCATAGTAGTCTCATAATATGATGATAATATGCAGTGTAAATTCTGGAAAATTATTCTTATTCCAATATACTTATAACGAAATCAACACAAAGTTTAAGCTTTGAACGTTATATTTACTAATGCAGCCCAAAAGTTTTCAAATTGATTTGAACTAAGTATTGAAAAAAAAAATGAAAACCGGAAAAAATAAATTTTATATTCAAATTATAAATTTGTGAAATTAATGAATGGATTGGACGTGTAGCTAGTAAAATGCTGTGTAGCATCGTTTCTAGCTCCTAATAGGGTAAGCTTGGCTCTGGCTCTCTGTTCAAGCTTAGATTTCTCGGCTCTGCTTTTGTTGTAGCTAATTAAATGATATCATTACTTCTATATGTTACCTGGAGATCCAATTTTATTTTTCCACAATATTAACATTTCCAGCTTCTGATTTTCAAAACCACTCTCGCTGTTGTTTCCAATTTTTCTTATTTCCATGGGACTTAGGGCCAAGCCACTACAGGATCCTGCAAACTCTTTCCAAACGTGTGGAGAATCATACTCTTTAATGATTTCATTTTTGAAGACATCCATTAGGCTTTCTGTTGCTGCAAAAATAATAAAAATACAGCAGTAGGGTGAGGATACCCGATAAGACTACTTAGTTATGCAAAGTGATCTACGTTTTCTCATGATTTAGGAAAAGTATGGATAAAGCTACCAATAAATTGTTCTATCTATGTTAACTTTCATGGGTTCAGCAATATCCAATTACATAATCATCTCCAGCAGGATTTGAAACTGCATACCTATGTTAGTCATTGGTATGAGTAGAGCCATTTTGTTAACTCTTAGAATTGTAAAGATTTGGTAATGATTGCTAATTAAATTAATAGGTAGGTTTAGTATCCAAGTTCGATGTAGAGTAAATTCAAGGCTGTAGAGTTCAGAATGCTTGTATTGGTGTTGGAGCCAGAGCTAGAATTTTCAAGATTTCTGATTGAAATTTGAAAATCAGCAGCCATGATTTAATAATTGAAAGTTTTATAGAATAAATTGCAGAGATTCTTACGTGTTGTTTGATCTATAATAAATGGTACGGCTGATATCTCCTCGTTCCATTTTTTTTCAAAGTTCTTTATTTTGCTTTTCTTGTCATTTTTTTCAACCTTTCGCTCATTGTGCTCAATTTCGCAAACTACTGTAGTGAGTTTTGCAGTGGAAGGCGCAGTTTGCACAAGAGCAAAGTTTTCAAAATGAAAGTGTTCCTTGGTAAAATCGAGTTGGAAAGATACTGTTGCAGGGTCAAATTTAAATTCAGGAGATTTGCATTGAAAATGAACTTTTATTTCATCATCATTTCTAACTATAATATTATTGAAATGTACCTTTGCTGCTGTGTACCCTGTAGCTTTGAGTTCATTTTTCCATTTCTCTTTAATGCTTTCATTCTTTATGTATGCTATGAAAGTATAGTTTCCCATTGGATTTTTCCACACACTCATAGCCATTTTGTATTTGAGTAGTTTGCTAAAAATGTTTTTCACTTTTATATGAAAGCCTGTAAAATGTCTTGTGTCAAACGAAATATCACAACCGATATGTCTTAAATCTTTGCTTTCCAATAAGCTCCAATCTGAACTATTATTCTGTTTGTAGCATATTTGTACTTCCACATAATCTTCATCAGCTCCACACCATGCAGGAATTAGCATTTTAACTGGCAGTTTGAAGTTGGTTGCAGGTTCGCAACTCAATATTGTGCTAATTGAAATCCTGTCATCACTGGTTGCATTGTCAAGTTTTGTTGACACTGTGAATTTCTTAGTTTCATTTAAAGCATTTCTTGGTATTTTCACTTCACAGTACTCAACATTCAGCCGCCCACCTTCCTGTCCAATTGACGCTTCTAAAATAATTTATACGTTTTAACAGATAGTGAGGAGAAAGTATGTTTTATTCTAAAAAGACTATAAAAATATGTGAGTGGAATCGTAAATATGGAAATAAATGAAAAGTTTTGAAATGTAAATACCAGAATTGGCAGGCAAGATCAAATCTAACAAATATTTTTATTTTTAATTAGCTTCACGTCCCCTCAAATAATTGTCTATGCCTTTGCGGGGCACGGGCGCACGACCCATTATTTGAGAACCACTGTGCTACACAGTTATTCTTGCTTGTCCTCACAAATCTACATATTCAAATTTTGAATTATATTATGGTACATCATACCCAGTGGTGGGATTCAGATTTTTTGTCAGCCGGTTCCTTCACAAAAGTCATATTTTTCAGCCGGTTTTGTTACAAACAGAATGCTAACCGAATCGCTGATCTCATAAAATTCTGTGAGACGGTTCTATAGAACCGGTGCGAACCGGCTGAATCCAACCACTGATTATACCTATGCGAGGGTGAAGTACTGAACTCCTTGCTGTTGCATAGGGTTGCACTTTTGCTTGTGATATATATCGCTCTATCCACTATTGCTGTGTTCCTAGAAAATATTTCTAAATCACCAGATCATTATACCTGTTACATCTTGTCGTCTTTGCGTTATCCTCACTGTTTTAGAACTTTCTTCCAATTGCATGCCAAGCAAAATTTTCGTGTGTTCATTCTTCCAGTCACTACTTATGTTATAGGCTGCAAGCGCAACTTGATAATATAAAAGGCATTGTTCATATTGCTTCTTACTTTTGTAATAAATTGCTATGTTATGAAAGGCTATTCCATATGCTTGTTTTTCCAATGCAGTTTGGCCATTGACTTCATTTAGTAATATAATTACATTTTGATTTATTTCTTTATATAGTTCATGTAGATTGTTGTATACAGCTAAGTCAGAAAGTAATAGAAGATTGTATGTTCTCCATTCTGTACAGAATTTGATATCTATATCAGGTACTTTCATGTCTGAAACTTTATGTAGTCTGGGATATAGTTGCGTCAGTACATCATCCAGTGCGTTTTTTTGTATGGTAGCTTCGACTTCAGCAACCTGTTGCAATTGCTCTGTAACACCTTTTAAATATGTTAATATATTATTCATCTCTGTACTTGAGTTTATCTGGGCTCGATATAATGCATTCCCCATGTTTTTTAATAACTTATTAAGAACAGTATGAACATGACCTTGTTTTATTGAACATCCACCTGTAAAAAATTAAAGTTAATTTTGGTAAATTTTTGATAAATAGTATAATCAAATTGTGAATAATGATTCACCTGATGGTTCCTCATGCTCTTCTTCATCTGTTTCATCGTCTGAGTAGTTTGACGACGCAAATTCTTGCTGGCCTAGTGATTTACAATTAAACCATTAATTAAACCAAGTCTTGTATATAAACAGGGTATTTCAAGAATATACTTCACGGTTATGGATCAATTTTGTTGGTATTTTCTTGATTCATATCAGATTCTAATATCATTCATATGAAATCACCTGAGGCTGTTTCTAGGCCAGTGGTTCCCAACCGGGGGTCACAGAGCAGTTGGAGGGGGGTCACCATGCCAGGTGCAAAACTGATTTTACACCTTTTACAAAAAAACCTCTCTGTTCTTCCCAGTTTCATTGCTCGAAAAGGTTATATCACAGGGCGTTTTCCTTTTGTTGAGCATGAATTGTTTGAACATAATGGGATTTAAAATCTAGGTACCAATCAAAATATCACTATAAATACCACTGAAAATATGAACAGGGGGCAGGCCATGAGTGCTAAAAGCCTCCAGAAGGGGCCCACGAGATATAAAAGGTTGGGAACCACTGCTCTAGGCTATGATTAACTGTAAATTGCAGCTATGCAAAGTCTTGTTTAGCTTGAGGATATGGGCTTGAGAGATAAATGCACACACATTTTAGTACCTGATATGATTGCCTACAAAAGACCTGTCTTACCTGTCATTCCCAAGTCTTCTAACTTATTCACAATCTCATCCACAACCGTAGGACTTTCATATCTATATTTATCAAACAGCTTTCGCAGAATTATCTCATGATTCATTGTTAGTTATTCTAATTATTTGTTATCTAGCGAATCATTTCTAAAAATTGTAATTGTTCTCAGTGTTACGGTATCTTAGTTGTTATGAATTGTTGTTTTACATTGTTTAAAGCCATACGATCTCTATCAAGTATTGAGTGTTCAGTTTCAGGGTATCATCTCATCTCAATTTAACAAACCTCACAGTAATAAAAGAGGAAATTTAGTGATCAGTTTTGACAGAAAACTAGCTGAAATTATCTGTGTCATCAAACATTAGTCGATATTGAAATTTTAAATTCAAATTTTTTTCTTATCTTCAATCACTCTGACAATATTTACAGCAGCTTAACCGAAGTGCACTAAACATGATTTTCTCCATTATTTAGGTAAATTCACACATATCATCTTATGTTGCTCTCTGATTTTATATAATAAAAATTCACAATAAATTTTTTCAACTCGATTTGACTTTAGTACTAAATCTACCGTATTTGCTACACAGGTGCTTTTGTAGGAATGAGAAAACTAGGAATTTTCTATCTGTGGTTACTCTAGTAAAAATGGCACTTGTTATCTCTTTATCCTTTCTTGCCCATCTAGCTGCCAACTTGTCTAGTAGTTTCGAAACGAAAACATTCTGCCAAGCTGTTTATCAAACGATACTATCAAACGAAAGCAGATTTGTCATTGCTCTCAGTTTTATCTACACACAATACGTACTGTTTTGATTTCATCTGCTATTGTAATTTAATCTTATACGTCTTATTCATATTATGACAATGAAAGTACTTGTATCAACATTTTGTATCAGCCTTATTGTTATATCCACTAACTTTCAAATATTGCCTGCCAGTTTGTTCCAAAACAATTTAACTACTACACAATTTCAAAATTTTTTTTGATTTTTTGATTACTTTGTGGTGGGCAAAAAATATATTATTTGTTTTTTTAAAATGGCCTCTTTCACAAACATGTGATTGTTTCAAACCCAGACATTAATTTTGATTGCTGATTCTTCAATTTTTTGCATAATGTTAAATATTACTGAAATGATTGCAGAACTACATACTATTGCACTTTAATTAACCACTGGTTAGTTATGTTTCCTCCACCATCCAAGTTCATATATCTGAAAATATTTATGACTTAACTATTACCATACTCATCCTGAACTGGCAGGCCGTGGTCTTGTCAGATGAGCACTATCTTGTTGTCACTCATCTAAACTTATTTTCTCACTCATTTCTTTGCAGGAAAAAGCAGTGATCGAAGTGAATTGAATGTGATCATCTTTGACATTAACAGATGGTATCTTGCTCAAATGCCATCCTGTTTTAGGTATGTTTTTTTGTTAATTTTCTCTACATGCTTCAAGATAATATGCTCATATACATGTAGCTATTATAGGCCTTTATTAGTTCATGTAGTACATGAATAATTTGTGGATTCATCACTTGTACTAGTCCTATGTTTCTTAATCTCTTACTCTTAAGTTCTCTTTCCAAACTGAATTAACAAAATGAAAATGAAATTAAATGCAAAATAATAAAACTATTAATTTTAAGAAAGTCTGTAATCAGAGTTGACGCAACTTGTCATGATTTTTTGAGACAATTTATCTCAAATTGTATAGTAATTTGGATGATTTGCCTGGCGAATGCCATACCTAAAGAGAACTTCATTAGTAATATTCAATGCTTCACTTTTCTATTCATCATAGAAGAGATGAAGATGATTATATCTATGCAGGAATGTGGACGTTTGACGATGATCAATTCCAGTTATCAGAAGATGAATCAATATTGGTACCTAGAAAGGCTTCTGATCTTTCTTATCTTCCCTAAACATAATACTGCAGCAATTGTTAGTGTTGTTGTTCATTCATCTTACCAACATGCCTTCATCCAAATAGGCTATTAAAAAATCTTTGGGATCAACAAGCCCATCCATCTCATTATTAAAACACAATGTACTATGACTACTCGTTTAATTTATTCGTGATTAATTCCTTTTTTTTTGTAATTTCTGGTCAATGATGATGTATAGTGCTGTACGGGGGCGAAGATACCTAAAACTTTGAAAACCCCTGTGAAAAACATTGCTAGGTTTTGTAATTCGATTCATTTTGATCAGTAATTTGAAGGACAAAAAAAAGCAGGGTTTTAGCTTATCCGAATTCTGAAGCTATTTTATATTATAAACTTTTTTTTCTGTTTCAGGGTATGCATGTTCCATCTGAAAAAATTCAGCACTTTAATTCAGGAATGAAACCATTGCCAGATAGATTCTTCCTACCGTCCTCGTGCAGTTTTCCTCTTTATTACATCACAAATCAATCATTGAACTATTATCTTATGTATGGATATCAGCAACAGGTACACAAACGAGGTTTCTTTAACGCACGTTTCTTTTTAATATCTTTTTTTTGTAAAAAAAAAATTTCAGGATTTTGCGTAATTATTTCAAAATTGTGGGCCTTCTCTAAATATCTGAAAAATATAAAAGATAGAGAACCAACTAACCATAATCACTGTTTATCTCAACTTCACTGCATTTCCAAATTCAAACTCAACTTGGATTTTCATATAGTGTTTGTTAAAAATGATCCATATTTGAAAATATTTGGAATAGGATATTATTCAGTTTTGGCCATCTTGACTTTGTCTATCTTTGTTTTTGAATTGCTTTCAATGCTTTTTTGACTAATTTTTCTCCCCTTTTTTATTTCAAGGTACTGAACACCGCAACTGAATTAAAATCGACGTGTCTCGTTAGTCCAAAAGAAATCCATGATGATATGCTTTCTTCAGAACTTTATTCAAAACATTCATCTCATCAACAGTTCACTCCAGATATGATGAGAGAAAATATTTTAACTACAGGTATGGTATAGAAATATTATATGGAGCATCATTTCAAGTTCACAAAATGAATCTTGCTATCCAATTCAGTGAAACCATGTTTTAAAAAAGCCTCATCATTTGCTTTTATTGAAGATTTAGCAGCTTCCAAATTTAAAAAAATTAATTTGGTGATTTTTTGCCATCCGATTCAGCAGCCATTTCTTCTTCTAAAATAAAGCAATTCTAGGTTTTGGAAAGTTTGAATTTTATGGAACTTCTGATAAACATAGCTACAATCTGCAGTACTAATCATATATCTGCATTGTTAGATGTTACAAGTGCAGCATCAGTAATCAGAGCTAAAATAACTAATTTTCATATCATATACAAAAATTAAAGGCTAGAAGTTTTTTACTTTGTGATATCTACTTATTTATAATTATTATTAAACATCTGTTCAATATTAAATGCAACATAAATAAAATCAATACTTTGTATGTTTTGTTAAAAAAAACAAGCAACCAAGACGAGAGGATTTTCAGGCGATCCAATTTTCGGTCATGTAGTGAAATGGCATTGAGGGTTAGCTAGCATCAAATTTCCTTCTTTCGTTCTTTGCCAAAGTGTAAATATTTGATTGAAAATGAATTAGTATATATCTTTTGATTTTTTTTGTTACATTTTGACAACTTGTCTGTGAACACGTATCTATATCAAAAATTTTTCGTGGGCAAGAATATCTAGTGCAAGTCCAGGTCTTAGCACAATTAGATGGGTTCACTCATAACTCATCATCTTTAGCAATTCCCTTTTTAGATTTTTTTTTTCATTTTCAGCTCTGGAACATGGCCAAGTTAGTTTTCTGCTATCAATTGTTCGAGATTTGGCGAGTGGTCATCTGGCAGCTTGTGGCTGCACTTTGAGATTCGTGATGGATTGGGCTTGGAAATCTGTTGCAAACGTAAAAGACTCCATCGATAAATTATGTAAGTAACTACCGATAACTACTTTGTGTACTTTGTTCCAAAATATGAATTTAAAATTGGGAACCAAGTGAACTAAGCTCAAAACAAAAAGACTTTAGACGAAAATTTAACATTCACAGTCATAAGGCTATTCTGCACTATCTGAATTAAAATAAATGTAATTTATTATCATCATTGGATAAATGTTTTTTGATATCAACTTCAGCATGGCTTGATTGGATTAAAAAACTCTGACTTAAAACTTTAAATTGGGTAAAATTTTGACTCAGATTTGGAAGTCTCATTTAACAGATAGACTGTTGAAGACTTGCTAAATTTATTAATGATTTGGGAGTTTCTGTAGAAAATTCGGATTCAAGAGTCAGAATTCCATACTGTCAGACTGGGCAGTTCAAAAATACGACTCTGGCTATAGTGAAAACATGTCAAACTTGGTCCACAGACTGATATAGATCACACTCTGCAATAATTTAAAACTGGAGTGAAGAAACAACAGCCTATCTTCATTGTCTCATTGATTAATCTAACCCAATTATGAGGTTTAGTTATGATTATTACTGTATCATGATTAGAAATATTATTTATTTTTCTTCGAAGGTATTCCTATTTTTGATTGCACTTGTCCTACGTTGGACTCACTGGTTCAAAGTCAGTTACAATTTCACACTACGCAAGTTCATCATTTAAAGATTGTTTTTCAGGTATTTAGTCAGGAGTTATATGTATTTATATGAACACAATACATAAGAAGTAGATGTTATATTATGGTATATTTAAACTTGTTTCAATCTTGATATAGGTATGTGGTTATATGATTTACTCTCCGTCTGTTTTCAAAATTGATATGGGATCTATGATGATTTGTTGATGTTTTGTTTCCATTTTCAGTATTGATTAATAAAGGGAGTTGCTTATTGTGATGCTTAAAATTCCAATTAATAGCTATTCCATAATTCCTATTTGCACAGTAATTTATTTCTTTTAATATTCAAATTAAATTGTTTTGTATTCAAATCATGATTTAAAAAAATAACAAATTACAGGTTGCCATAAAATAGAACCACGCTGTGAGATTATTTCCAATTTTGATTTAAGTTTAAATTAAATTGTTTTATCATCCCTCGCATACGTTTTCACTTTTTATCGTATATGACTTTTTATACACCCTTTTTGTATTTTTTAAAATAGAAATTGTTAGAATTCACAGAAGATGCAACTGATCAAAGTAAAGAAGAATTAAAAACAAAATTAAATGTTGTTACATTAATACATCAGTATTTAAAGGTAAGAAATTTTATTCAGTGTCCATGGCAATGATATTTTCAGAAGGCACTTAATATTTTTTTTACATTTCAGGTTGTACATTGGTTTATTAACAATGGACTTCTACCAGAACAATTAGACAATGTTGAAAATAATGAAGATATAATGACTCCAAGTGGAATTCTTATTTATAAATATACTCGATTACGTGAAGTTTTTGATCAAAGAAGAGCGGAATTAAATAGGTATTATTTTCAATTTGTTGTCTCAATGTATTTGGAATTGTATATTTATAGTATGTCTCATAAATTGAATTGTAACTTGTATTGTCATCATCGCACAGTGCTAAGCGTTAGGAATAAGCTCGCCATCGCACTGATTAACCTGTGTGGGTTCAAACCCCATGGGGGATAAGTTTGTGCAAAAGAATTGCCCGGATAAATATGTTAATTCTAAATTTATTGTCTTTTTTAAAAAATTTCTTCTTTCAATTTAGTTTTCTCTTATTTTTTTTATACCAAGGTCAAATTGTCCAGATCTTTTGTTAATCGATGGATGGGTGGAAGAGATAGGAGAACCTCTCACATCAAGATGGTTGAAAGAGGAAGGAGGAAAGGTCACATTTCCACCACCTAGTTTCATGGTATGACTTCAACTTTATGAACAGCATTTGCTTCGTATTATGCTCCCATTTGTTTCGTGTTTGCATATTGCTATTTTCCTATGGTAAATTCTTTCTTTACCGATAACATTGGCTTTACATCTATTTCATTTTGTACATAATCAGAAGTTTAGTATTTCTGTCTTTGAGCATAAGATATTGAATGCAAAAGAAAATTCCAATGAAAATATACTAAATTATTACCAGAATGAAGAATTTGGCATGTTAAACTTGAATGGTTCAATTTCTATTTTTTTCAACAGTCTAACTAAGCCTGGTCTTGTCGGCAATTGGCAATGCGAATGATATTGGAATTTAAGATGGGAGATTTTAAGGATTTTTAGTTATATTATAATTCACCCTTTTTCAAATGAAATGCATTTTTAATCATTTAGATATTTGATTCATATTTACAGTCATTCAATTAAATTAAACTGATTATAACAGGCCACTGAGATTTTATGTTCACATTCCTTCTGTTCTCTAGACCTTGTTGGACATGTACTATCTGGACTGTGTTAATGTGACAACAAAGCATTGTCTTGTTATGTATCTTCTTCTCGACGTTCTAGCTATGTTTTCAACATTACAAAATGAAGTGAGTGAAATCTAGTTATTGGACATTATTTATGTGGGCATGATGGCCTCGTGGCTTAAGCGCTTTTCCTGACAAAGGCTGCATTGCAGTTTTGAACCCCATTATCACTACCTTGCCCAGGGTGTAATAAATTGCGTTGGTAATGCAGAACCGCAAAGTTTCTAGTCTCTGAATAAGTGGAGCCTTTGGTGCTTATACAGAACCTTGCTTGAAGTGAAGGTGTATCATGTATTAAAAATAAATGAATAAATTTTATTCAAACTTTCAGTAATTGTTATTTATATTCTGAGTTCTACTAAAAATGTATCTTCACATGGAAAAGGATTATCATTTTTGTAAAATTACTTTGCAAGAACAAATATTTGTTCCGAAATTCCCAGTACAAGACGATATAAGCTTTTATTTTAGTAACATTAACCAGGGTTGTGTGACAACGGTTCGAATCACTTAACTTAATATGTTCTTATATGTAACATGCTAGAGTCCAAGCATGTTAAAAGCATCTAGTTTGAGAAGTAGTTGAATAAGAATGAGTGAAGCTGAATCCTTTACTCATAACAGGTCTGAAATAGTTCATGAAATAATAATTTTCCAAACCCAAATCTATTTTTCTCATAATAAAATTTAAACGAAATATAGTAAGACAAATAATATTTGCCAAAACCATACCGGCTCTAACGGCAAATCAAGAATAAAGTCCTCAATTTTTACATTTCAATTAGAAATTTCCATTTTGGGTGTCGTTGCTATATAATCGGCTTTAGTTCCCTACAGTGTTCCCAATAAATAAATTTTTATGGGTTGGGAAATATAAATTTTACCAAACGCATTGTAAAATTTTTAATAATAATAGTATTTAATATTGGTACATTGAATTTCTATCACAGGCAAAATGTGATTTATATGAATCACAAAGAGATCGATTGAACAACATTGCATCATTTCTTCATATATTTGGAGTTCCTGAAAGATTGATTAAATTAACAGAAGGATTTTGGCTGCTTGACCATAAGAACTTTGAGGTCAGTATATTTAATAATTTTATATTATAAGGTATAGCATTTATTTTTATGAATTACATACAATTCAGTAGATTACTGGATTTTCTTTTTTGCATAAGTGGAATAGATTTTAGATTTTAAACTAATCTCTGAAATAACAAAACGACAATCGTGCATAAGGTGGTTTAGGAAGAATTCAAGATTATTTTGAGATTTATAGAATAAAGTAGGAATAGAAATACAGGTACGAGGGTTTTCTGAGCATTTTTGATTTTTAATGAAAACTTTCCAACTCCCACTATTCTGATATCCCAAGTCTGATATTGTTACGTTTTGCCTGCAGCCAAGTACCAGGGTGATCGAGTCTTGGGGATGCACATCCACTTAGTTAAAATCTCAGCAGGTAAATTTCAGTGATGTCTGCATTGTTAATATAACAGGAGGGAAAAATCCAATTAATAGGGAATTTTCGATAATTGTATGTCATTATTTACATCAATGTTTTCCATTGGTAATCGATAATTTTTGATTAAGTTATCAAACAATGCATAGTTTTGAAACAGAAAAAGTGACCAAAGGAGATGCACTGAAATATATAGTGATTTTGTTGATATCAACACTCAAATCTGGATAAGTTAACGTATATATTTAGGCAGCATGGCTTCTTATCCCACCTCCCATACAAACAGGGGCGGACACCCGGAGGGGGGGCGGTCGCCCCCCCAATAATTTCGCAAAAAAATTTGATACATGTTGTTTCCGCCTTACAAAATTATCATTTCCGAAAAGTGCGATAGTCAAGCGCAATTAAACGGTTAATAGTCACCGATATTATAACTGTTTTCTCACAATAATGTGGACCAGAGCGTCTTCGGAGCACCTCACATTTTCGTGAAACATGCGCGTCCGCACGGGTAATACTCCGTCTTCAAACGCACCGCCGATCACGCGCCACGGTTTTTCACAACTAATTCATTTTTGTACAATTTAATATGATTTTCTCATTGTCAAAATCTTTCAATAGTGTTATTGTTGGCACTTGCGAGAGAAGTGAAAGAGGCAAACTGTGTTTCATTACAACAATTAATTATTATCGCTAAAAAATTAACTAGATCTAAAGCTGTTATAAACAATTTTCACCGCTGGACGTATCTTTTCACGTTATGGATTTCGTGCAAGACCCAGCATAATTTGCGGGCAAAGATCAAAGCATTTACTATGTCGAAAAGTTGAAAAGCGGCAATATAAAATACTAAAAATAAAACTGTAAACAATATAGGTTTTGTTGAGGCCCGCGACAGTCTAAAAACGCTTTTCTAGGCATCGAAAATCGCAAAATTTTCACAAGTTATGTTTGCTTAACCTTTAAAAACATTTCGTCACTAAAATCGAAACACGGTCATTTGTGAGCGGGATTTGCCTTTTTATCCATTACTTTCAAATTGACGTCGAAAATTTTCGTGTTAACATTAAACAAAGCTGACAACGCGACTTTTCCCCGGTTTGTGATGATATATAAGATAATTAAAGTATTTTCGATCACTTTTTGTATTTATTTATGTATTTTTATTGTACTGAAATAACTTGTACTACGTGAGAATTGACAAAAAATTATGGATTTTTCGAAAGGTTTTATCTTTAAAAATAATCGGAGTGACAACATTGCGATTGGTGCCAGTGTTACAAGTAAATCTCAAATTTATCAAATTCGCAAAATAGCAAAAATACGGATCAAAACAATATATAAACGGGCAGTTTACCACACATTTTTATGTCCGCGGATTGCCGTCGTGTGTTAGAATGGCTCTTGTTTTGTCGACTCAACCGTAGTTTAAATTGAAGACAATTAAAATAATGAATCAAGACATTTTGGATATGCCCGTATCGGTCTTTGATTGATTACTTTGCACAAGTGAAAAATCATTTTTCGTTGATAAAGTCGGCTCTTTTAACAAGTGGCGTAATCGCGGCGACTGTTCCGCGTGGATTTCGAGGCGGTGAATTTGTATTTTTGATTTACTAGTATACTTTATAAATATTTTCATTGTATGAAGTAAAATTGTACTATAGGGGATTTTATATCAGATATAGAGATTTTTGTAACGGCGATAACGAGTTCGGAAGATTGCAAAAATACGTATCAAAATTAAATACATCAGGCAGCTTATCTCATATTTTTATTTCCCCATATCGCCGTGGTACTTTAGTTTAGTAATATTTTTATTTTGACCTAAGAAGTCGCAACCGCGAGTTACGCTGCACACAATTAAATTAATATGTAAGGACATTTTAGAATCTCGTGGCTGTCATGGATCGACAGAAAAAACATTATACGCTTAAATAGGCGGCTCTTTTAACTAGCGCGTAATCGCGGTGCTTGTTGCAGACGGCAATGGGAAGTTCCGACCTCAAATTTGTTATTTTCTGTTTGTTAGCGAGAGCCGTGGGCTAATTCTCGCGGAATTCAAGAAATTGGTTCAGTGACGCGCAAGTTCCGTGTCCGAGCCAAGCAGCCTATTAAATCGATATATGAGTAGCAAAATGACATGCTAATACTTAGAGAATGACATCGACCAGTTATTGTTACGTGACGATACACGGCGCGGTGTTTTTCGGTAGGCGATCCAAGTTCGCCCCCCCAAAATTATGGAAAGTGTCCGCCCCTGCATACAAAGTAATAATTGCAAAATGATATCAAGTGAAAATGGGCTTGGATTGTCATCCTAACATGACACGGATTGTTTTCCAAGTTCTTACCAATATTGTGCATAAGCATCTTGAACCTCGTTCAGTCAAGAATTCAAATTGGTAGATACAATAGAACTTTTATATCTGCAACATTATTAATAAAATGTCTTTTTAAAAGCAAAGTTTCAATTTGTTTCCATTTTTAATGCGTTCATGTGTGTGTGCTTACATTTCGGTACTCCAGTAGTGTGTGTGAAAGGTTTGGGTTAGGCCATCATTTTATTCCGATTTTCCTTATTTTAGTTCTATTCTATTATGAGTTCGGGGACTGTCTGTGTAAGCCAAGTGAATGTAGGCCCATCCTTAAAGTAGGCAAGCAAAATTAGTTACCTCCTTATTGGTACACACACTTCTGAAGCGCTTACATTTGAGTGTGCTCTTTTCTTTTTCTGAGAAGAAATTTGGGCATATGTTTTGTCTGTATCTAAGCTCAGTGGTGGAAATGATAACGATTTTGACCCCAAAATACATAGCACTGGTCGTTTAAAATACATATTCTAGAATCCAGATAGAGGTTTTGGTTCATCCTGTACTTGAAATTGATTTACCTATGTAAATTGTCTGTCTTGATCTGGAGTGATGGCATTTATTCTTCATGTATATTGGGATTTCAGAAACTTGTCAACCTAATCAGAATTGTTATTTGATACAATCATATCATATCTTGGCATCACAATTTTATCCCATTAACTACTTTTATTACACGAGTATCTACTGGTATAAACTTCTACTGGTATAAACATAAATGTAGTTGAAGTATCTGACACATTCATATGAAAAACATATTTTTCTATTGCCATCAAATGTTTTATTAAATCAGGTTCAATTACAAACAAAGTTGAATTTGAAAAGTTATGTGGACTATGGAGAATAGTGAATTGATTAGAAAATGGTATAAAACAAATAAAATTTCAAAGATGTATTTGTTGGTATTTGTATTTATTGTAATCTACAGATGGGTTAGAGCTTCATAACATGCTATATCTACAGTTTATATTGGGTTCAGGTTAGAGAAAAACTATGACATAAAGTTTAATTATTCATGTTTCAGACTTATATTTCTTGCTTCAAAAATTTTGTTAAACTGTTTATGATATCATCTTCATTTATCAAATCATAACTATTATTGTTTTCATGAGAAATCAAGTTAATTTTAAATGATGTTATAAATGTATCTGCATAGTCAAATGTTATTGCCCATTGAAGATAAAGAAATCAATTTTCATTAAGAAACTGCATCAATCAAGCTGTTGTCCACTATATTTTGCATGGATTATTCAAACCCAGTTAAACGAAGCACCCAAGCCCATTGACATGGCATTTGTGCGGTGTTAAGAGAAGGCAGAGTGATTTTGATGCCCAATGGTTTCATGCTTCCCCATATCAGTGGTGTGTCCAATCCTAGCATTTCTACCTTTGCATCTGAACTTTTCTGTGCAGGGGATCCCAACATCACCATGTTATCCACTGGCCACTTCATCAAGAATGCGTACACATTTCCAGAATTGGTTGTATACCAGACATCTGGGTTGGTCGTGTCGTTTTGCGACTTCCTCCATGGGCTACTTGCATATACTGCTTCCCCATTGACTTTCATCCACGAGCCCATCTGCTTTAATCGTTCTTGAAAGATTCCCATCAATGTTCCATCATGGCACGGACCCATGTTCATTAACATGTTACCACCGTAGGCAATGGTTGTCACGAATGTCTGCAAAAAAGAATTTTGTTATTTATTTTCAGCATAATATACACCTTTTTTGCGCATTTTAAATCTAGCATTTGAAGTATCAAAATTATATTTTCCAAATTCAATGCTGTTATTGACAAAATTAGTAGAAACATGTTCACACTTTTGTCGAAATATGTATGAATTTTTTTAATCGACTCGATACATTATATTGTTTATGACGCTAATTTTATAATACTTCCAACTGCCAAGCATTTTAATACTTGATTTGAATTGTGAGACATGTTTTAGTGTCAACTATGGGTTGTTGAGTATAAACATGTAGTGGAGCATGCCCAATGTTTTTTCTAACAACTTCAGTTATGCTGGTTTCACTACCTCATAGCCGTTTTCTTGATCATTTTGCTTTCGGTTTCGCACCAAACATTATTTACAAACACACAATTCTACGCTATACTTCTTTACAATCTCAGCTGGACTTGGCACCTCAGTTGTTGCTTGTAACTTTGCTCAGATGTCAATCTCCTTTATTTTTGAGTGGGCATGATATTGTTTTATTTAAGCTAATTCTTTCTAAATAAAATTATCCAATCTCTTACTTCCCTTTCATCAAAATTACCTTCAGTATTTCTTCCATGGTCAAGTAGTCTTGTATATTTGCTTCTCTTCTGAATCCCCAAGAATATTTGTCAATTGTCATACAATTTTCCCACTTGTGATTTTGAAGTTTTCCAGGATTATATCTATCTTGACAAGTCCAGAAATCACCATGTTTACAACTTGCAACGGAACTCCATCTGTCATTCACAACCACTGAATCCTAGAAAATACATTTCAAAGGAATATTTCTTTCTGAGAATTAATATATAATTACGATTCTTACATTCGTGGTCACTTAGTTCTGAAGTTTTTCCTATTTGAATGATGAAAATAGTTTTACTTGACTAGTCACAAACTCGTCAAATTTTCAATAAAGTTTCCAATTTTGAAATATTTTGTTCCATTGGCTATTTGACTGGGAGAGATGTTTTGAATTTGATAGGAAATTCTATTAAAGCTTATTATGGCAAAATTGATTTGAGATTTTGTTTGGGCTAGATTCTCCATATATCTGGAAACTGACTAATTAATACAGGGTGACCCACAAGAAAATGGAACCCGGGTCACTAGGAACATATTATGGAGAAAATGCAACTTTTGTGCAAATCGTTCGAAATTACTGAAATTTTCGAGTGCAATTATAGACAAACTAAAGTTCAAAATTTTCGCAAAAGTGATTGAAGGACTGTGGAAGTTCTTTGTTTTTTTTCTGGGGGAAACACTCATGTTAGCCATAGTAATAATTTCAATAAAATTTATGCGAATCAGAACAGTCATTATTCATTTACTCCAAACTATATAGTTTTATTTCATTAAAGGATAATCTTACTTTCACAGGACTGTCATTATACAGCCATGCAATAAATTCTGCAGCTCTCCAATAATCATCGGGCCCATTCGATCCATCTGACCAAATAACATCCGGTTTATAGTTGTTCACCAATTCATATAATTCAGGCATTGTCTTGTCAAGAACAAAGTCACGTGTTGTAAAATTGTTGTCTTTGTCCCTGCGTATAAATTGTTAAGCATATAATGTGTCATATAATGACATTGCAAAATGACACCAATGAATTGCTGATCATATGACATACTGACTTGGTTACAAATTGCAAAATTGGAATGACAAGTATGGGATAGCATTCTGGAATGTGGGCTATATATATATATAGGCAAGTGCTGACAGATTAGATATCTTGAACCAGCCACTTTTCTATATTTGAACAAACAATTGTATCTTCATTAAAAATTGCAATAGCTCCTGCTGTGCAGAATTTCCAGCCACCTGGCTGTTTCCTGGATGATAATGGTTCTCATTATTTATGATCTTGGGCCATTTATTATTCATCTATATCTCTGCAACTCTTAATAATCTATACACACCTCACAATGCCTCACACTCTCTTTATTTTTGGTGTGGGCGCTGGAGCTTGCTTTGAGCCAACTTGTACAACATATAGTTACTCATGGAGTCATGGGCATTAAATTTGGTGGCTTGTGCCGAATTGGAAAGATTTTGCGTTCTGGTTCTAAATGTGCCCTTCCACTTTTACAAGTTACGCCTTGGCCGAGTAAGTTAATAGTAATGATTGGAATGATCACAGAAAAAATATCTGATCTGATCATAAATCAATGGTTATTCATACTGGCTATACACTAGATAGAACCAATCAAAAATGAAAGAAACCCGGAAGTGAACACTTGTTCTGTGTGTAATTTCAATGCAAAACTCACTGATTATACACTGGATTGAACCATTCAAACAATGAATGATAAACTCCAAAGTGAACATTTGTTCTGTTGCGGATAGAATTAGCCAGCATTCCAACTAAATCTTTGTGAGCTCCAACATCGACAGCATTCCAATTCCATGAATGTTTTGATCCCCAGTTTGTAAAACCTTCGTGATGTTTTGTTGTTAAAACAACATATTTTGCTCCAGACTCTGAAATGAATTTTCATTTATATTTAAAATATAAATCATTATTCCTCTGCTATTTCCATCAGTACTGTACACAATTCGCTGCATGAAAAATTATGCGTTTCACCATAGTTATAAAATTGCTTAGTGTGGATCAATTAAACAGCAAATTTGCATTTTCTATGAAAATATTATTTTTTAGTTTTGTTGTATTGGAAAAATATCATAATTTTCATTGCTGTTGCATATCTCTCTTTTTGTTACTTACCAAACTCTATATTGAGCACTTCACTATACCATGTAAAGTTATGAGAAACGGCTCTCATTCGAAAGAAAACTAGCAATTTATGAAAAATCTGTAGCATCTCAAATTTAAAAATCTCTCGTACCGGTAATCATTAATATGTAATTACCGTACCTTGAATCAAATCTGCCCAGTGATCGGGGTCGTATAATTCGGCAGTAAAATCTTTAGCAAAGTCGGCATATGTGAATTCTGGTGGATAGTTCGCATTCATGTAGTTGACTACTTTCTGATTTGGGCTTGTTCCCTGTATTATAAAAATAATGAATTTTATTTAGGTTAGGCAAACAGGATGGGAATGCTGAAAGAAATATGGCCTATCTATTACTGTAAATACGGTAAATGTAATCACACATGAATAATAACACTTACCTTCCAATACCACCAAAACCATTCATCAACGAAGCTTGGCACTGAAAACACTCCCCAATGGATGAATATGCCAAACTTTGCTTCATCATACCAAGTTGGAGAAGGTCGAGTGTCCAAAGAGTCCCATGTTGGGTCATATTTTGACACTTTTTGTACTAGTTTATGTACTTCTTGATGTTGTAGGGTACTTGCGATCGCACAGACCAACAAAAGTGATTTCAGCAGCAACATAGTTATTACAGTTATATTAAGCAAATGAAATGCTACTGAATACCAAATGCATTTTTTGTGAAAAATATAACCTTTAGGACTTAGGTAAATGATATAATGTTTTGTTTCTATTGAAAAGGCCATGAATTCCCATTTTGGTTATTTAATTTTCCTTTTGTTTTTATTAAGCTCTCTCCCTTATTCTTTTCTGCAGTACTGTAACATTGACAATCTGTAATTTTTAAACTCAAACTCATTTCAGACAACTATGGGTCGGCAGGTTCGGGATACACAAGACTAACTATTCATTCTTCCTCTATGTCTCTCTCCTCGTTATTTCAGATAACCATCAATTTATATGTACAATTCATTGATAACATTTACATATCTTAATTTAAAATTTACTTTTCATTCCTCGTAACATATGTACATAATGATAACCTTCATAAATAGGTCAGTAAATGTTTATTAAAATAACTTCAAAACAAACATATACTACAGATACAGATAGTTGAATGTTTAGTATTATACATTTTCAGTAACTACTCATGTACTGTTGCTGATGTATTTTATTACACTTAGAAAAAATAGTTTTGAGCACAATCTTGCTTTGGTCAACAAAGACACTCCCTTTTGACTCACTCCCTAACCCGTGAGAGTGGTTGTACTGGTAAATATTTAGCAATGGTTTTACTGAGAAACTTGCAACTTCAACAAGTATCACTGACATTTTGTGTTAATTTTAACAAATAAAGCTCTTATGATCCACTCCATGAAACCATGACTATAAATATCTAGCAATGGATTTAGTGAGAAAGTTGCAACTGCGATAAATCCCACCATCTGGTACATTAATACAAAGTACTGAAGCAGAAGGCAGTCATGGCTGTAAGACTATGTCACTATGGTTTATCTATCTTTCACCCATATTACTAATCAAAGTTTGGTTATGTATTAGGCAAACATAGTCATCATTAATTTTATCATTCCATAGAGTACTATAATGATAAGCTCGTCTCCACCTGGCACTGCACTGCACCAAAGTTCCCTGTGTTGATTTCCTTCCCTTAACTGTTAACTGGGGCAAACAATGGAATAGAATATTTCATATGAAATCGTCCAACTGTGTCATTTGCTTTTTTTCCTTTTCTCTCTTATTTTAATAAAGAATGAGATATCCTATTTTTCATGGATGGATGACTAAGAATTGTGGTGTCTTGCTCCAGAGTCATGGGATATAAAGTAAATATCAGTCTGTGTCTGTAAATTGATATTAGTAGGTCCTTGAATGGATATCCATGTCCTTTCTATACTTTGCCTTCCATTACTTATTGCTGTCAAAAGCCTACATATTGCTGATCATTAGATGCATTAAATGACAGGTCATGTGTCAAAATTCTTTGGCCATGTCCATTAGAAAATTTTCATTTTCTTATTAATCTATACATATTCATTGCCTCAATAATATAGAGTTGCAGGCTCTAACCTTATCAATATTTAATATTGTTCTATATTTTCTTACTTTGTCAAAACAAGGTCTGCAACTCAACTACACCGAAATAATAGCTCTAGTTGATTCAGATTTAATTATATTGCCATGAATTATTTTGTATTTGTGATATAACACACAAATCAAAGAAGCAGAAAATATCTTTACACAATACTGAGAAATGAAGAATTCATTATAAATATGCGAAGGTGATAAGAAAATCACGATGACGCTAAATGCCCAAATTGATCAATATAGCAGATTTTGGTTGTTTGTTCTGATTGATTATTAAGAGCAACGTCAAAGAGTAAATTTTTACCTTAACATGTAACTTTTGCAGTATGCATTACTATGTTTTATACAACACTTATTTAGGCCCTTCCGTTTCGAACTAGGTCCTGTACCATTTGGCATTGGCTACGTAATAGCTCGTTCACTGGGTTAGATGGTGGGCATGGGATCTGAACTCGAGTGTAACCTGCGATACCAGCAGAGTGAAGTTTAACATTTTATCAGCTAGACTAGTGCTTCCCAACTTTTTTCAGTTTGCGGCCCACTTTTATTGCCATTTCTAAGTTCCTGAACTACCGTACTTTTATTGCCATTTTTTTTGTGCGACCCACAATGAGATGTTATTATATGACAAAAGAAACAATGTATCCCCATCCAATTCACTATTAATGAAAATTTGATCTTTCATATTGGATATTATCAGATACAGAAATATATTAGCTGAATTTCGAAAATATCACTTGAAGTAGTTTAAATTTTAGTCTCTATTTTTTTACAGGCTGCTTTGGAAGCTTTTCTTGATGCTGATACGAGACAACCAGCATCGTCATGGCAAGAACGAAGAATTCTCAGATCATTTTTACATCAAGGTCATCCAGAAATGGCATTGAAATATATCTCAGTTCGATGTCCACGTGTTGAAACTATTGAAGACGCAAAAATGCATATCACTATATTTATAATGAGCAGGTATTTTTTCTTATTATTATCATGACTTTTATTCTGGCTGACAAAATAATAAATCTTTTTATTAAGAGACTTGACATTGCGATTAAATGAAATATTTGAACAAAGCAACAGGACTGAAACCTTTCACAGGAAATAAAGAAATCCTTATGAGCAGTAATTTATACCATCTATTGAAGATTTGTCTCATGCTCTTTTATGGACCCAGTTATGCCTTATATCTGTATTGAATGGATCGGAAAATCTTTGCAAGGAAACTCAATATTAAAAATACTCTAGGACCAGTAAATTGCTCGAATTTTTGATCAATTTTAATGACTTCATCAATTCATTTTGCTCATTGCTACTGAGCAAATTTTTTTAGATTTGTACTTTCCATTTTCCTTTCACTCATCTATTGAAATATTTTGTATTTCAGGGAGCCATTGAAGGCATGGGATCTAGTTCAAATGTCTGTTGGACAACATAATTCCAAAGATTTATTTTCTCATCTTTTCACTTTGTCTCAAAAACATTCTCAACTCGATCAGTTGTTGAAGTTGCCTTTCTCACAATCAGAAGAGGTGAGAGATAATTATTTTAATTTTCTTGGTCCTTTGCACATTCATCTGTTTCTTTCAATTCTTAACATTTCAAATTCTATTCACCTCAATGCATTGTGATTGGTTTGCACCTACTTCCTGGAAATCGATCACTTCCTGATTGTTGCAAGCAAAAGGTCAATATAATTGTAAAAGTCATTATGCATGATGTGATTCGGTTCATTTTCATACAAGATACAGTATTTTTTAAATTTGTAATTTATTCAGAATTTATGTAGCTTCACCCACAATTATAATGTACTTTCTTTCGACTGTCATGAAGTCGTTTGTATATGTCGTTTGCTCTGAAAAAGGTTTTGCACAAGCAGCCACTGATATGGAAAGACACTCATTCGTTTGGAAGGACCAGAATATTCCAGTTTGGCATTACCCCAGTGTTTCCCAGCCTCTGAGTCAGGACCTGAAACTGGGTCGCCTGAAAATCGCTTTGGGTAGCTTGTTTTCTCAACAAAAACCTAAAAGTTACTGATTTTATTTTTTAGGGAATTTTTCTATTTTATTTGGTGTTGAAGTGTTATTCAATAGTAGTTCACCACAATATTAAAAATTCCCTGATGGCAAACAAGCTCAGCTTTCTCACTTTGAAATGATTTCTGGGAAAATTAATGTAAAATGATTTTTATATTAGTTCAGTAATTTAATTTTGAGGCCATAAAAGCACTACATGGCGTTTAGTATATGAGCACATTCTTAGTTCACGAGATACAAAATTTATTTTTTGAAACAATTGAGCTGCTTAGAAAATGGTTGTAAGGTAGTGGGCATGGGACCAGCACCTAAGATTTTAACGTCTGCGCCTAACGTTTCAACTACTGAGTGTCACATCTTAATTAGATTTATTTTGCTCTGCTTGATTTATTTGTCTTTTTAGGATATGGTTATCAAATATTTACAAGAAAGCAACAGTGCAGAAGCGACTCAAATACTGGTTTTATATTATCTTCAACATTCAAGATATGTTGATGCAATAAAACTACACTCACAGAATAAACACAATAGATTAATGGTAAGACTTTCTACATTGTGAAAGAAAGATACTGGAAGTCTGAACCTGAAAAGTTTGTATTTATTGATGATGGAAGTTTTTATGCTTATTTCAGAATGGAAAATTTGAAACTGAATATGCTTTTTTGTTCCATATTGTAATATTTTATCCCACTTAAGTTTTTTACAATTAATTTTGACGATGTCAATTTTTGGTGGTATTAGTATACTTTTTATTCATTTTTCAGCGAGATCAAAGTGAGGAGTCTAGGCGACGTAATGCAAAACTCGATCATATTGTGCAGTCATATTCCAATTTATTACCAAAGATTGAACGAGAAATTGCCTTTTCTTCAAGTAAATTTTTCAAGCAACAAGCTATTGTTCGAAAGGAAGGTCAGTCTTTTATGTTTGTTTACTATAGGCGAAACGTTCTTTAATCTTGGCCTCTTTAATGAGACAGTGGCATACCATGACAGAGGTCAGGTGTGCTACAAACCTTTCGTGGTCATGTGTAAATTTGTAAAACTTGTATTGTGTACTTCATCTTCATACAACATAACATGGCATCGCAGTTGTCGTTTTCTGGATTTGAATAGAAAACGATGAAGTCTGTATACGGCCAACCTTGTATTGGAACAATATGTTCAAGCATTCGCATTTGTGGGCCATCTCAGTGGACTGAGTGAATTAAATAATTTGTACATGATGCAATCATGCAAATGTCTTTTCAACAGTGATTTTCAGAGTATGGTAAATGTAATAAACTACTACAGCTAATAATAAAACATCATGATATTTTGGGATACAGTCCTGCTTTATATTCTTCAAATAATTAAAACTCACTGCAACCCACCTGAGAAGCTCGCCTTTTAAAGTTTACAGTCTAATTGGGAACAGATTAAAAATTTCTCTCCTGAACTTTGATGTAATCTAAATTCTTTGCAACATTTGCAGTTCACAAACCAAGTGCATTATCATCTATTGTTCATCCTACCAAATACATGGAAACGTCATCTCGAGCTGATCGCCTTGTCAATCAAATGAATAAAATTGAAGAAAAGCAGAGAAATTTACAAGAACCTATTTTGACACCTTTACGAAGGAGGTAGATATTTCAGATAACATACTTGTGGGAATTGGTTTTCAAATAATACTGATGTTATTTCATAACGAATGGAGTTATTTTATTCAAGAATGTCAATCAATTCATCATTTATACCTTTTTTTGGTGCTTTCCTAAACTGCTTCAAGTCTCACATCAGCCTGCATTTGCTGATGCATATTGTACACCGAAAATCTATCTAGTCCCACTATCTCATGGTTTTTCAGTGGTTTTATTGTAACTTCGCTCATAGATGAGTTTTCTTTACATCTGTATGAGTGCATGAGACCTCTCATTGAGAAAATTTGCAGACTTTCTTTTGCAAAAAAATCTCCTATTTTTCCTCATAGCAAAGAGAATTTATATATCAATTTTGCTTGCGCTCTTTCTTACTTTTTTTCAATATCTAATATGGAATTGGTTACAGACCTCACCCAAGAATACTTGATACGTATCAAATGAACAACAGTGTATTTCTATATCCGACCATCGATCAATCTAGAAAAAGACGTTCAATTGATATACATGGAACAATGGGTAGAAGGTAAGTTTTATTAATTTTGCAAATTTTCAATTTAATGCTATTTCATGAGCAATGTGCCCTATTAATTTCAAAGTGTGTCATAACTTATAGGACAGGAAATACGATGAGATGGCTCAATAATGTGGCAAACTGAGTTGTTCATGTTCATGTCATTAGTAAGTTGTTTCAGATGCATTGACTTGATGCTTTTCTGACTTTTCGTTTAGTGCTTTTAGCCTTAGTCAGATGTATCAATACAATTTATGAAATCGTTTAGCTATTCGATTCATCTGTTCTTGTTAATTTTACATTTATAATTCAGGTCTAGTTTTGGATCTCCAGCTCGTGGTCAGTCACATTTGAATATGTCAAAACTTGGTCCTTCTACTGTTGCTGAAAGAAGGTAAATTATGAGTTTTTTCTCTTCATAGTTTTCAAGAAGTCTTTATAGAAGAACCATATCATTGATATCCATATCCCTAGCTAAATCCTTTTTTACTCTGTTGAAATGTAATATTGTCTCTGTACTAATATACCCCTTATTTTGGAATATATCTCTAATTTGTACTCATTTCATGTTGGTTTACAGATATTGAACTTGCAATTCGATTAAGATTAATTGATAATTTTATTTGCATGCCATATTTAAGGTTAATTTTTTGCATAGTAGTTTTGGATAATATAATTACTGCTATGTGGTACCTTTGGATTCAATTTTATTTTTCCACAACATTAGTATTTCCAACTTTTGCTTTCGAAAATTTGGTTTTGCCCATTACCTTTCAGTAGAATTGAACCAAATTATCCTTGCCCACAACTGTTAGCACAAGATAGTTTCTTAAATTTACTACTTTCTTATAGATTCTTTGATTTCCCACTATTCGATACAAATGAGCTGGGTTTTTTTCAGGTTATCGAGTCTATCTGTGGCTTCTATGTTACTTCAAACACCACCAATAACTAGAAGAAGACAATCAATATCACAACAAGATATACAAACTGAAATACAAACTCCACAGAGTATTCTCAAAGTCAAGAACTTCATGAAGAGAGAAAGGTTTGGCAACAAGGAATTTCACATACCATTGGTCTTTCTTCGCTAGTTTAAAAAACTTTCATAAAATTTCTTCGAGTCTCAAGTCTGGTCTCTTTAGCTGTTGGTCGAGTTTGAGGTCAAGCCGTCTCAAAACAATTTGTTGATACATTTAAATTAACAAAGTCAACCAACAATAATATGTCAATGCCCATCCCATCAGTTGTCTCTTTAAAAACATATTGAATAAATTTTTTCTTCATATAATTTTTAATATTTTACTTTTTTACTTTTTCAGAAGTCCTTCCCCATCAATATCTATGATTTCTCAATCTTCATCGAGGATAAATGATAATAGAACAAAAATGACGAATATTGGTGAAAATGAATCAATCGATTCAGAAAGTATGACAGATGATGTTGAGATTAAGTAAGTTATGTTATTGTACTCGTTTATTGGTAACAACTTAGAAAACAAAGTGAAATCAAACAATGTGTAATTTTGCTGACAGTTATACATTTCATTTATAAGATGTGTAACTCGTTGAAAATTATGTACATTTCATCATTGTGAAATATTTGAGAACAAGTTCATTCGAATAAGAGTTGAATTGAATTTTAGTTCAATTATATCTTGTTACTTGGATGGTAATTTTACCTTGGAATGACAACAATATTAAGTAAATAACATATGCTAACCAGATTGATCAAAATTTCTGAATAATTGGAAGCTCAATAAATGTTTGTTTGTTTAAATGTTTTTGGGTGGTAACCGACTCAGATGACTGTTAATGGTCGCATCGTTACCACCCTGTCATCTACCGAAACCTAATTTTTCTCATTTTACTATCATATATATATATTGTATGTGTTTACTGGTTTGACGAAACAAATAAAAAATTCTCTCTCTCGTTGTTTGAAAATCCCTTTTTACTTACAAATGAATTTAGTTTTGCACCTTCGTGTATTTTTGCTATGAATTTCTGCGAGAACTAACTACTTATCCTTCTTCTTTGCCTGTGCGAAGATGGTTACATATGATATAATATAGCAAGAGTGAGGATAACTATTCTGGGTGATACAAAATTCATGCTGCAAACTAGCTATACATTTAAGTTAGTGTGCGGCAAGACTTGTGAATCAATTAGAATATTCATTTATTTTTATTGCACTTGACATATTAACATGCTTTTCTAACATCCTTATCTTGAAACTTTGTTTAAATTAGAATTTGTGATTTGGGTTTGGAGAGTACAGTTGATGACACAGCAGGATGGGTGACTTGGCAGAGAAGAGGAGTATTTGATAATACTGATATTATGAGGCTTCACAGTACTTCTATTGGTTCAGAAGGATTTAGTCAATTGTCACAAGAATCTGAAGATAGGGTTAAGAAGTGAGAGTCGTGAAGACCTTGGTTTTTGGAAATTTCAGACACTTTTTCGTGTTCAGTATCTGATTAAAATGGTCATAATGCCCAGTCGCATTTGTCTATAGTTAGAAGCATTTTTAGAGTATATTGACATAAATGTGCAGGGAAAACCATTAAATACAGTAGTCCTTTTTACTTATGATATCGTCCTTGAATAGAAACATTAAATATGTAGTGAGATTTGTACTAAGATTTTTATAACCACCAAAATAAGATGTTTTTTATGCCTTATTGCCTTTGTCGTTTTCTGGAAAAATGTAGTCAGCCAGTCAGAATACATAGTTGTTATATGTATTATGTTTGGCAATTAGATTAGTAGTATTCAATACTTTTTCATTCAGACATGGCATACCGACTGTCAGTACACCTGACGCTAAATCATCTAAAAGACCAAAGTTGAATAGTGATACTTTCACCAAGGAGAATTTGTATGTTTGTATTGATTTCTATGTGTAAACCAGAGTTTCCCAAACTTTTAATCAATTTAAGATTCGCTCATATACCTCCAAAATAAGTTATGTGAAAATAGACTTGTTAGATACTGTAGTTGTAGTTACAGCCTTTATTTTGATAAAAATGTGACTTTCTAAGGAGTTCTCAAACACAGATTTTTAAATCATTAACATCAGGTGATAAGAAAACATTTTGAGTCAGATTAGGAGGAGTTATGGAAAGAACATCCTTATACTTAATCTAACGTAAGCTCTGAAAAGTCATAATGTACCCCTGAGGGACATGCACCCCAGTTTGGTAACCCCTGCCATAAACATGGGATGTTTATGCATCCTGCAAGTTTGCCTATAGAAGAGTCATGCTTATGGAATCTTAGTACTGATTTACATACTAATATAGGAGCATAGGTGTTGTTTATTTGTAGGTCTTATATGCAGAGATAGTTTGTTATTTGTTGAAAAAATAGTCCAACGATCACAATTTTGTATATACTTTCTAAGTTAGTAGTTCGAATTGAATGCATTATCTCATTTTTCACAGGAACAAAATGCCAACAGTAACAACTCCGTTCGCTAAAATTTCTGCTTTAAAGAGGTTCCAATCGAAAACGGATGTTGGAGAGACTATTCAAGAGAATAAATCAGCGTGAGTACATGGTTGGGAAGCCATATTTTTCTCACCGACTATTTTACTATTTCATCAATCTTTTTTAAAAAAAAAAAAAATTTTTGTTATTATTGTTCTGAATCTATACATATAGCATATTTAAAATTTCTTTTTAATTTTCATTCAAGTGTCCAGATCAGGAATAAATCTTACTGAGTTGTGTATTAATTTGCTCATCATCTTGTTATTACAGATTGGATACACCGAAGAAACTTCGATTTGCAGGACTAGATAGTAGTGCCAATGATTCTGGTCTTTCAGTGGTTTTGTAAGTCAATTTTATGTTATTTTTTTAAATATATGTTTATTTTTTGAATTTTTCATCTTTGGAAATTCATATCTGAAAACTTTGTGTGTTTCTGTTAGAAACACTCACCAAATTCCAATATCAAGGAATCACTCGCTGATTTTTGTCCGCTGGTTTAGGACATCATGCCCTTTATTTGTGTGCCAAGCCCAGATTGGTAACAGGACAGTAGTGCCAAAGTATGAATAAACCATCTTGTTGATTATCGGTAAAAAACAGTTCAACCTTTTTTGAAATTAAAACCGCAGTATATCGGTCAAGTTGACATTTTGAAGTGATACTGTGTTTGTTTCGCTTCACCTAAATGTAGTGGTTACAATTATTTCAATCAGTTATAATTCATTATGTAATCCTCATCTCAAGATCTAAGTTAAGTCAAGACCTGCAGAAATATGCTTTGAAAACCATCTAGTACATTTCATCTCAAATCAGGAGAATATAATCAAAAACTAGATATAATAGATGCTATCATTTTTATATATCCCAGGTCTCCACCAGTAGAACAAGTTGCTGGTCTTCCTAATCTAACACCAGTTCGAGTCAGTTCAGAAACATGTGAAGATCATGAGATGGATGTTGATATTACTGGTGATGAAAGCATCAAACAAAGTTCTGAAGAAGGTAGTATTGTATTGATGTTGGACCCTCGTTTTCACTTGATAAAATGCATTTTTGTTTATAATGGTATTGTATGTTCTAGTTCAGCGGTGTGCAATATTTTTTGAGATATATAACCAACTTCAGACATTTAGCTGGATGTTCACAAGGGCCACACTATTTAGCTATTTAAATGGCTTGGCAGGCTGCCTCGTGTACTTACCCCTGTTCTAGTTGGGATATTTCTCAGCCAGATATTTTGGCCGAACTAATCAAAACTTGGACTCTAATAAAAACTTTTTATATATTTATACGTGTGCGTTTGTACTTAAGAATCTGATGACGAACCTGCGGAAATTTCGGAGATTCCCATAGAAGGTGAAGTAAAACAATATGAGGACGAAGATGATGAAGAAGAAAATAATGTCGTGCAACTGGATGAAGATAATGTATGTTATTCTATCCTATCATAGTATTCAAACATTGATTTTTACAATGTACACAATATGTACTTATCTATACTAAATAAAATTTAATCATTGAAGATATATTGGAAGGATAATATGTCATTTAAATACGTTTCTATGAACCAGTATTCGTAAAAAGCATTCAATTTTTTTTTCTTTTTTGTGTAATAGTGTTTGTGAACATTAGTGAGTAGATTTATTCAACAAATCAAAACCGGTTATTTTCCAGGTGGAACATATTATTGAACCTTCTATTTATGACGACAGTGGTGAGGTCATTTGTTTGGATGATTCATCAGATGATGAACAAGCACAAAATGATGAGAGGGATCTCATTCCACATCCAACTGAAAAAGAATCTGAAATTATCGAAAAACCGTTCCATCAAGATGATCAAAGTTTGAGACTTGCCGTTTCACTTTCTGAAGAGAGTGAAGAAAGTTTTGGCAAGGATGTCGTTTTTCAAGACGTAGTTCTCGGTGGATCTACGAACCTCGAAAACCCAATTGAAACAGACAATCATAGTTTAAAACTAGTTGTGTCTTCTTCTGAAGAAAGTTTGCAAAAAGATGATATTTTTCAAACTAGAAATGAAATTGATGACGAAGCTGAGAGATTTGAGGAACCTGTACAACAAGCTGACCAGAGTTTAATGCTCGTTCTTTCTTCCTCTGAGGAGAATTTGGGAGATGAAAATAAGTTCGGAAGTGGAGAGTTTACAATTGAGAAAGATGAAGTTGAACAAATCCAAATTATTCAATCGTCAGAGATTTCTCATGTCTCTCCAAATTTGGATGAGAATTTCATGAGTGAGGAACAGGACTCTGAACCAATAAAAAAAGAAGAAATATCTCAAGTTTCACATACTCAAGAGGAAGAGTTGTTTGAAAAAGATCAATCTCGATTACCACATGTTCTCGAGGATGAGGTAATTGCTGAGGAGGTTGAAGAGGGGGTAAAACAAGTGGAGATTTTATATGTTGAGGAAAGCAGTGAAATTGAAGTAGTGGAAACCAAACAGTCTATCGCTGAAGTTGAAATTATTGAAGTTCCAGAAACTAAACAAGAAGATCTTCCAACTTCTGATGAAGAAGCACGAATGTCTCCTGAATTGGTTGTTCCTCATACTGATAAAAGCATTGTAATTAACAAGGTACAAAATTCTTAGGTTTTGCCTTAACTTATTTTTTGTAAAATTAAATCAATAAATACATCTATTGTTTCAGTGTTTGAAAATTATTGCTTAATGCCAAGTATCTGCTATGCAGTGAAATGTTGAATGAATTGGTTCTTCGAAATTATTTGAAGAGAAGTTTGACATGGGTTATCAACATTATTTAGTCCCTTTTTTGTCCTCACACAATGCTTCAGATTCATTTTTAAAATCCAAAATTAGTAAAAACTTCATTCTTTTTGGAAATTTGAACAAAGCAAGGTCACACTCACTTAAAAATAAGGGAGATTGATCTCTGAGCGAACGCGTAGAGTGCGAAGAGCTACTGAAATCATAAAGAATTAAGGGCGCTCCAAGAGTGTGTGTACCAATATGGAGGTAAATAATTTACATCAAGTTGTGTAAAGGGACTGAAACGTATATGGGGTTATATTCACATGGCTAACACAGACAGTTCCCGAACTCATAATTAAACTAAAATAAGGAAAATTGGGATACTACGGGAGTACTGAATTAGGACCATAGAATTATGTGTTAGTAAATACTGATGGACATGAGATGAGGTTCATGTCAACACGGTCAGGAAAACAACTCTTACATAACTGACGTTTTCTGTAATATTGTATTGTTAGTATTCTTGCTTTGGAAAATCAAGCAAATAATTTTCTTTAAAAACTAGGATGACGAAGTGACCTCGGATTATCAAACAATGAATGTGAATAAATTGGAGGAAATTCTAACTTCTCCGGAAGCAGAGAAAACACAGGAAAATGAACAAATACCATCAGCTACACCAGAAAAAGAAAAGCCATTGATTTCCAAAGAAGAACTTGCTAAAGTAATAGAAATGGAGAAATCTGTAAAGAAAATTGAGGAGAAAATTGAAGTTGTTGAAACACCAGGTAGGAAACGCAGTTTAGCACAGACATCATACGGAAAACCTCCCTGTTTTTCTTGCATCAATGATTTGCTTGTTCGACCAAGGGCATTTTGGCGCAGCTAACTTATGTCAGCAAGCAGACAAAGTAATTTTTTTATGTCACCAAACTCAGAAAAGATACATGTCTTATATAAAGTCGTTCCTCTCGACTGATCGCGAATATACTTCCAATGCTTTAAAGCGCCATAGTCATAAAAGACTAGTTTGCAGCGAATTCCATTCAACCGTGATCAAGTCAAGAGTCCACAGGGTTTTTGTCAAGTCCCAAGTTTTATATACCATTCAACTCATTTTCTGATTTTTGGTTTTATCTTTATGCCACAATAACTAAGTAATAAACAATACTCATTTGCTTTCTGTGGCTTTCAGCATTATTGACAGATTTTATTTCAACCACAATATGGAATGTCTGATTTTATTGCTTAATGTTGAATTTCTATTGCCTGTTTATAGCATATCTATAAAATGATTGGGGGGCAAATAGGCCAAGATCATATTTAGAAATCGAGTCACTAGTTTAAAAATATGTTATCAATTGTATATTAATTCATCTTTTCAGTTGAAGTGAGGGACGAAAACATATCCAAAGTTCAAATAATCGTGAATCCGTCGACTCCAGTGTTAGAAAGAGTGAGGGAAGAACCAAAATTTGTTTTGTCGCCTCCGACCACTCGGAAATCTAAGAGGAGAGGAACAACAACAAAATCAACACAATGTAAGTGGAAAATTGGGTTCATGACAGTTATAGGAGATAATGTATTCAAATTTATTGATTGATAAGAAAACAAACAACGCAATGCGCAAGTTATCTGATGGTCAGATTTTTTTTTTTCTCAAAAATTGCTTTATTCAAATAGTCAAAAGAAGTAATGTTAGGAAGTTGAAAGTTGTTGTATTTGTTCACCCTCTTTATCATTGGTCATGTTTCAAATGGAAGACATTGCTGGTTAGGTAAGCTACCAACAAGTTGAAAATTTCCTACCCTACTGAAATTAAATCTTACAACAATTGGTTGGTCTAACACAGTGTTTCTTGACCTGTGGTACGCAGGAGTTATTTGAATTGTACGCAAGCGGCTTTGATTTATTGAAACAATTAACTGTTGAGTTGGTTGATATGCCGGTAGTGCTTATAGCACTACCAATCCTTAGAGATTGCACATGCCCGCTACTGCCAAAGAAGTTGTTTTTGTCCGTTTTGCGTGTTATGTAACAATAAAATACTATAAAATTATCCCATACACATTTTAAAATACTTCCATAGCATGTTTATTGTGCCATAGTTTTCCGCCCCAAAATAGGGCCGTTGTCGGTGGTATGTAGCCAGAGTAAAAAAACACTTTTTGGTACGCAGTGAGTAAAAGGTTGAGAACGCTGATCTAACATCAATGATGTATTAACATCAGTTACTGCAGTATAGGTGATAGAATATGAATCTGTGAAACTACATTTGATATATTGTGATAGAGTAGTACTTTAGTATAATCTGTTATTTGTCATGCAGTATGAGAAGTGTTATTGCAAATATTGAAAAAAATTTACCGGTAGTTTACAAAAACGCTTTTATTTTAGATACTCCTAAGCCTGAATCTCCAACAAGAAATAAAGTTCCAAAATCACCTTCAAGGATCACAAGAAGTTCAAAGAAACAAGTGGAGCAAGGTTGGTTACCCGTGATAACTTGTGTATGGATCAATAAATAATTCATTTGATTTTGAAGTAAACGAAAAATAAGAAAAAGAATATTTTTCTTCAGAATTCTGAAGTAGTATAGGTAGTATTAGTTATAACACAAATGTGTTACAAAATTAAAGTGTTGAATATGAATGTCTTCAACCAAATAGTTCGAATGTTCAGAATTTTCAATATAAAAATATAAATAAAAAAATATGTAAATATATGCTACGAATTCACCAAACGTTGTATATTTTCATAAATCACAATCACTCAACAAAAATGGCTCTCAATTTGGTTAAGCTAAGTTATTTGAACATCCCTTGTCCTAATTTTAAATTGCTTTTTTATTGTATCTCTCCCATTTCTGTTTAATCGTGTTTGAACAATTTGCCTGCATTTGTTTGTCTCAGAAAGTAGTTTTATAATCACTTGCAATTTTAGATCCGGCAGCTCCAGAACCAGAATTTTTATTTTCTCCGCCCAAGACTCGAACAAGATCAACTAGGAAGAAAGATCAATCAATGGCAACATTGTCACCTCCTCGTTCCACCACCAAAAGAACAAGGTACTGACATGCTGAAACAAAAAAATAGCAAATGTCTAGATGTAAGATGCTTTGTGGAACATTGGATATTTTCTATGTGCCAATTGTTTCAATCAAGGGTGCTCAATGCAAGGTCTCAGTCGATTAACTGAAAGTGAAAAAAGCACTCATAAAAGAGTTTATGGTACCGCTGATGCTTAAGGCAGTGTTGAGTGTAAGTCCCTAAATCCTGAGTCGCCACGTAATTGGTCACCTTAGTTCGAGTTTGAAGCCGAGTCAGTCACTGGGTTATGTCTCACTGGCAGTTACTTGACAATGAGTTTGAGTCATTCCATGTCATGAGTCACTCAAGTCATGAATTGAGTCTCACTGGCAACTAGGATGGGATAGGATTTACATATTTATTCTGGGGGAGAGGAAAGCTGATAAGACAGTTTAATCGGGTATGGGATTAGTTAACCAGTTATTTGTTTTCGGATGCATGGACTTGACGGTGGAGGAAGCCGTAACAGACCAGTAGTTACGTGAACCACCCTACGGTGACAAGTATTCCAGCAATTCTCTTGCACATAACTCTCTCTACATGGGAACCCACGCAAAGTAATAAGAGGTGCGGTGATGCGTCATTTCATTTAGATAACTCCAGTTGTTGATAAATATTGGTTTTGAGCCCAACTCAAGTCGAGTAAAAAGATCGAGCATCCCCAACACTGACTCTAGATATTATTATTACTTATCGATCTTAAGATCGGTAAGTATGTTGATAGGTATTTGTCTGTCTGTGTGTTAGATGCACGCGATATCTAACGAAATGGTGGTTGAATCTGCTCCAAATTTTGCATGTGCATTCATCATATCTCGGACCAGTAGCCTATTGATTTTGGATGAATTATGTCATATAATTAGCGAGTTATTAATTAATTACCAGTAGTGATGAAGAGATCTGGATTTTTACAAAGCGAGAGATTTTCGAGACGCGTTGAATGTGTGTGTGCGTGTCCGATGCGCAAGTTTTCACGCTAGTGAGTCAGAGCGAAGGATACACACCGCTAGATCGTATCTCGTGATTAATCTTTAAGCATTGTCCATATCTCTCTTGTAACTTTGACGTCGTCGCGATGCGCAAGTTTCCTTCGAGAAATTTTTCACGCTATTGAATCAGAGCGAAAGATACACGCCGCGAGATCGTATCTCGTTACTTATAATTACTCTTTAAAGTTTAAGCAATGTCCATATCCCTCTATCAGGTTCGGGGTTGCAGAATTCCTCACCAAAATATCGCTAGGCTGTGTTTGAATAGCCGTCGCAACCCGGGTTAGCGCCGTTGTATTTGACACAAAATATAGGATTGGTAAGTAGGCTATTGGCTGGAAACTAATCGAATTAATCCAGTTCGGATTTGCAGAATTCTTCATAAAAGTATTTCCTCGAGTAGTATTTTGATGACAACATCGGGAGTTGGCTATTGTTTCCTACATTTTTGATATTGGCTGAAAACTATTCAAAACAATCCGGTTCGGGTTTGCAGAATTTTTCGAATGGAAACCGCAGTTTCTGTTTTGGGGGATCCCCTAACTTTCGATCGATAAGTCTTCGATCTCTGACCGATATTCTCGTTTCGATATTAGTATTTAACTGCATCCTATGCATGCAGCGATTTAGATACAATTTAAAATTGTGGCCGACTTTCTAGGCATTCGTTCTTACTAAAAAGGCGAGAAATTCTTTCCATTTCCTCTCTTGTTACTTCATTTTAGCTACATTTTCATTTTTCAGGAGTCAAACTAAGTCTCATGATACTGACAGTGATCGATCTGTTTCACCTGTTTTAAGATCAAGTTCACATAAAAGGTAATGTTGCTATCATTATATAGAAAATACTCATCAAGTTTAAGTTTGCATTGGGGAATTCTTTCAGTAGTATCTTTGTCGATTGAAAGGTTTTTCGAATGCTCTGAAACATGCTTTGAGTATTTGACTACAATGCCTGTTTCATCGATTCCAAATTAGCATGAATATGTTATCACCATGTATGTAATCATATACCAGTAATTTTACATATTTCATGATCAACTTGTCTGATATAATTTAAACAAAAACTAGGTTCCGTATGCCACATTTATATGTCGTTTTTTTCATGCCTTTTGCTTTGATCATGGCTCTATAAAAGCAGCCATTTATATGATAGTAAAAAGCTACTATTTTTTGAAGGACCAGTCGGACACTTTCGGTTCGGCATTGCCTACCCAATTTTTTGCACCCTGTGGCGGTGAGGAGCACGGAATTGTGTGTGTGTTAATGTTAACTGTGTAGCCCGCTATGCCAACAAAGTTAAGTCTAACTCTTTAATCAGTAGGCCATCGTACCTATAATTCAATCCTGTTTATTTGTAGAAATGTTAAGAAGAGAGAATCATCTCCGGAGGAGAAACTGGACCCATCGACTACACCATCACGTAAAACACGTCAATCACCAGGACGTAAAACTGCTCCTGCTACACCGACACGTAGTAGCAGCAGAGTAAAGGTATGTTTTTCACTGAAATCTTCAATTCCAGAAAATTGTATTATTGGACATGAAGCGTTCCTATTGATCGCATGCTCAAGTCCTACGGGTCTCGTTATGCTGTTTTTATAATCTAAAGACAGATCTTCATGTTGGTTCACATAACTACTGTGGCTGGTTGCGACTTCCTCCACCGTCAAGTTCATGCGTCTAGATCAGGGTTCTCAACCTGGGGTTCACGAACCCCCAGGGGTTCACGAGAAGATTTCCAGGGGTACTTGGACGGCAGTCGAGTTTTTGTGTGTTGCTGTTTTTTGATACCCTTTAGTACTATCAGAGGAAAATGCGTGTCAGTTGAAACTAGATGCCAATTGGAACGTAGATTTTCCCTGATGTTGCGTTGTTGTGATTGTGACGCAACAATGTGAAATTCACGGCTTTGCAGGCAAAGTGTGAAATCTTATAAGACAGCGTGCTGCGAGCATTGGAGAAAGTGATTATGCTTATTAAATTGTGGGAGAGATTTTAAGAATTCATCAGTTGGGTGGAGGACAAGGGCAATAATATCAACACATAGATTTAATTTAGTTACATCTGGTCAATAAATTGTTGTTTCAACAAATTATTAGTCAATATATCACAACTTTGTTCAATGTCTGATTACCGGGGGTTCGCGTTGATTGTTTCATGACTCGGGGGGTACTTGACAGAAAAAAGGTTGAGAACTCCCGATCTAGATGATTGTTATACAATTGAGTCATCTCATTGGCTTTCCCCACCCCAGAGTAAATATAAAAATTCTATCCTATTTGAAAGAATAATTTTAACATTTGGATTGAATTTTGCGGACATTGCATTGCAGTATTCATTTGATCTTGGTGTCCATTTATTTGAAAATTGTTCTCTCGTTTCATTGATTTTTAATTTGTTTATGAATGCTACTTTGCCAATCAATACCAAATATTCTATTTTATATATTTTGCATGATACATTGTATTTATTCCTTGCAGGCAAAATTAAGCATTTCCAAAGAAATGGAGAAAACATCTGAGTCTGAATTACAAATGACTGACGAAGCATCTGTTTCAATTAAACTAGTTTCTACTACAAAACGAATTAGAACTCGCAAATCATCAGTCAGCAGGTATTATAAACAGTCAAATGAATAGTTTTATACAATGTTGAAATATGTGATATTTACTCCTAATAAAAAGTATATATCAAAACAGTATAACAAATGCCATGTTTTGAGGTATGTACTAACAATACAAATGAAAATTTTGAAGAATTTTTCATTGATGATAGTTAACTTATATATTTCAGAGACATCTTACAGCATATTTTCACCTAACTAAAGTCAGAAATATAGTGTCACAAATAATCAGAATTAAAAGGGTTGCAAATTCGACATCATGTTGTCTGTTAGTGTGTCAGTGCTGGTGCTTGCAACTCTCATATCAGTTTTCCCCTTTGGCGTGTTCTGACAACGTTAGTGCGATCAATAATCCTTCACAAAACATCCATTCCAATTTTGATACTAATTGTAAACAAAAGTTGTGAAATAATAGATTTCTGAGATGATGTGAATTTTGTGAATGTGCTCATATGCTTTATTCAACCCATAAATCATGAAATAATGTGTCAGACATATGACTGAAGTCTCTTGTAAATTCGTTCAGTAAGGTTTAAATATTAGACTAGTATTTTCACATTTATTTTGGGGGAGAGGAAGACGATAAGACTATCTAATCATATGTTGAATCACAGCCTCTTATCCAGTTACCAGACTGTGTTGGGCATATGATTAATTGGGCCAACCTCAGCCGAATTTATTATTCAAAAGCGAATGTCTTTGCCCTATTCGGAGAAGCTAGTTTCTATAGAATTTCCAAAATCAATCAATTGCAATCATATAGTAGATGAAATGACTATGATCTTGATACTGTTTAGATCAGCGGTTCCCAAACTATGGGTCACGACCCACTGGTGGGTTGCAAAAGGAATCTTAGTGGGTCGTGAAAAATTGCAGAAAGCTTTGATAAATTATACTGGTTATTAGGATCGGTGGCGACTCGAATACATAAAACTTCAAAAAAGAAAAAAAAATTAAATTCTCAAAGGAACAAAATTTGCTACACAAAGAATGCTATTTTACGCATAGCAGGTTTTGTACACTGTACAGCACTTCTCACAGTGTTTCCCACAAAATTTAGATAGGATTTAGATTTATTTTTTTTTGAAGAATAACACTTTGGTTTTTTTTTTGGAAGAGGTCTTTTGTGTTCATTTATCAAAAATAAAATTACATTGTAGAAAATCACGAGATGGGTCTGTGACTGTGAAAAGTTTGGGAACCACTGGTTTAGATAGTATTTTTGTTGATGACAATAATAAATTTTCGATGCTAAGTTGATGTAATTTGTTATCTATTTTAGTGACTTGGGTTCTTCAGACAGTGAAGTTCCATTGACACCTTCAAGACGTTCAAGTCGAAGATCTTCAACCAAATCTAAGAAAGGTTGGTCACCAAGTCAAGATAAAACTAAGTTGGTTGAACTCACTCCATTACCTGAAGAGGAAGAAGAAGGAGAGACAGAAGAAACTGATATGAAAAAAAGAAAGAAAGTAAAGGTTGGTTTTCTTTAGGTATGTTTTAGGGCTGGGCATTTCGAATCGAATAGTAAATTATTCGAATCGGTTCAAAGCTAAATTTCGAATTCCTCTGTTAATTCCTCATTTTTTGTTCATTGAAGTTATAATTTTTTAACGCATTTCTAACGTATGACTATTCTCTGTTGTGAGTTATTGATAAAACGTGTTTGTTATTCTGTGTGAACGCTCAGTAATCTATCTGAGTGATTTATTCTATGTCTTCAGTAATTCATTTGTTAAGAGGACCAATTACTATAAAAAAGTCGCTTACAATTATATATTTCCAAGTATTCGAGATTCGATTTGATTCGAAAAAATTATTCGATTCGTTTCTGAAATCACAAGGTATTCGGAAATGCCCAGCCCTAGTATGTTTATGAGTGCTGCTGATATCTATATTTGTTATATACATAGCGTTTATTTATACCTTTTTCTCCAGACATGTTTTTTTGCTCTTGTTGTTGTGTTAAATCTTTTGTCGTTTTGCCGGTGCCTCCTTTTCCAAAATAAAGTTCTCCAAAAGCAGTTGTGGTAGTCAGCTGATTGATTAACATTTGACCTGTCAGTCACGGGTTGCTACAACTTCTGTCAAAACTGATGTTACCAAAGTATGTGAGAACTCGAAATTTCAAGTGTCTCTCTAAATTGTAAATAAATAAATTTTTCTTTCTGAGAATTTTTAATGTTGCGCACTCCTGGTATAATATAGCCAGTATAGTCTGATGTTATGAACATCATATTCATAATAATTGTTTTCTAGACTTCGGAGTCTACTAGAGCCACCAGATCAACAAGATCTACTACTGGAAGTTATCCTACAAGAATGAGAAGAAAAGCCAAGATTTTGACTTTGGATGAATAATTAATTTCTGCAAGTTTTCTGTCATTTTGCCAATAATGTCTATTTATTATTTCCTTCCTGAATTTTTGCATCAATCTGGTGCTTTTGCGCGATATTGTAACGTTGCAATTTTCGATTTTGAAAATACAATTTCACTGCCTATAAGGTGACATGTTGATCATAGAATGAAGAATAGGATGGGATTCACATATTCATCATGGAGAAACGGGAAAGCTTGATAATATGTCGAACCACAGCTTGTCATCTGGTTATCGTCCCTGCCAGGTATGGGATTGGTTGGCTAGTTATTTTTTTCTGATGCATGTATTTGATGGCGGAGGAAGCTGTAACCGACCATCGGTTATGTGAACCACTCTATGGCAGCGAACAGTCCAGCAATACGCTCTCACATAATTATCCCGATTCGCCACACCGTCGAGCCTGGTATGGATGGGGTGTCTCCAAAATGTCGTGTTCCGCCTCTTCGGGACAAGTGGGACTCTACATTTTGGAGACACCGGTATGGATGTATGATTTGTCGAGTCGCGCATCTATTGCCGTTTACATTAATCGTTCCAGGGTAATGATGTGAATGAATACATCTCGGTGGAAACTGCACCAGGTAGTTTTTCATATGTTACTGTTATAACAAAACCGATGTAGTATCAGCCAGGTTACCCATGGCTAACCAGCAAACTCATTTGCTGTGCAATGGCACAACGCGCTTGTCGTTGAGCCCCACATTCTGTTCGAACGACACTCACTAAACTGGTGGTTGATCCTAGCTATTGTGCCAGAAAAGATTCTTTTGGTTCGACAACATGCATATTGAATTTGGTATATCTATTCAATTCTAACCATGAAAACTCGTTTGTCATTGCACCGTTCATGACCGTTGGTGTGCACACCGGGTACCGTCAGCTGCGAGAATGCCACGCTAGATTTCTGACAATCCGAGGGTGAATCACAACTGCTGTTAGATGTCTCGCACCAACAAGTATGTCATCTAGATTCTAGAACGGTTCTCTATACTTGACATGAAGTCGTAGTTGGAAAAGACGCTGAGATGACAAATTTCGGCGATGGAATCTATACCGAATGAACTCTATTTGTAGTTGCTGAAAATCTTGTGTTATTCTGACCATATTTTTAAGGAGTTTTATTCATCTATTCTAAAACATATTACAGAACAATGTTCGCACCAAATAGAAATTAAAAAATGGATTCTAGAGAGCGATCAAAGTTTTCAACATTCACAATCATCCTGTATAACACGAACTTATCTTTATATATTTATTCAAGGTTTATATTTATTCTGCTTCCTCCAATGCATATATTTACGTGGTCAATTTGTGAACGGTGTATGTGTGAAACTGACACAAGTTTTTTTTTACATTGCATAAGTTTTCATTAAAGAGAGGCCGATTGAGATTATATATATTCTCATGTTGTTTCACAGATGTGATGAAAATATCAATTAGTAGATGTACCAGCAGGCAATATACGAGTTTGTTTTATATTGGTGACATTAGTAAATGTTACGTACTGTCCCCTAACCTTCGACGAGAAAGGCGACGTCGGTCTATTCGACGGCGCATACGGCTAATTAAAAGATTGTGTCAATGTTACCTTTGACGGCTGTATTTGTTCTGACTTTTTGGTATGTAGGACTATACTTTACAGTGCATTTCATATTTCAACACTAATTCACGCAGGCAAGAAACTTAGGGCATTTGCTAGTTCAGAATATGCCTCTCAAGTAACGGTTTGCTCTTTCGTCCAGTTAAATGGCTGGTCAGAGCGAGAATTGCATCTACGCTGTCGAAATAAATATGTGGACTGATAAATATCTGTGTAAATCATCGCGGTTTATTTGTACGTCAACAATGCAACTGATAAGTGGCGAATCCGACTGGTGCAAAACACTTCACACGAAGGCAGGGCTAGTAAATATCGAAGTTATCTTTGTGAAACAGAAAACATGTCAAGGAGAGGAACTTATGACCTGAATGTCAACCATCAATTGCGGAATTTGTCATCAATTACTGAAAGGGAAAATGAAGAAGAATTCACTGTGACGTGGAAAAGATGGCTTGTTTTAGCGATTGTTTCACTTTTAAATATGAGCGTAGCGATGGTAAGTTTACTTTTCTAAATTACGTGAAAAATCGATGTAGGCCTGAATTCATGTGAATATATATGACTCACCTGGTTAGCCAAAAATAACCACAAGAGCGCAGTGCATTAATTTAATTCAAGACCTGGTGATGATCCATGTCATTCCCAAGTACGTGTGTTAGACCAGGGTATCCTATATACCTATATCGTGTTCGTGTGTATTTTATCGATCGCATCGTAATTTCTTTTCGAGCAAGCCACCTCAAAACTAGGGATGGGACGAGTCCGGCATTACAGAGATTCGACGAATCCGAGTAAAACGTCAAGGACTCGAATCGAATCTGCCGAGTCCGTGACGTCATAATGGAAAAGCAGAAAAACGTGTTTTTGACCATGCTACAGCATCGTGCGCTAACAAACATACGCCGTAGCTCATATTTTTTGGTTGGTTCCGCAGATAGCTGTTGAATCATTTTAAATATATATTTTTTATCTTTTTTGGCGGCCATAATACTAACGTAAACGTGGTCAATGTGCGCCTTGGCTGTGAACTGGATTTCCAGCCCACCTTGCGTCAATTCTAGGCGGCTATTCAGAAATTCTTACATGTCAATATGAACAATGAAAGCTACAATGCTTTCCCATGATTCCAGATATTTCTAGCCGTAAATTTACTATGTCATATGCGCATATGGTAGAGAAATGCCACTCGTCGTCAATACAATGTGGTACATCTGCTTGCAATTTAGTAGTTCATGTAAACGTTTTACATCTTTCCATGCTTTCCATTGCCTTTTTAGCGAAAGGATTGCACGCAATAAACTCGATTTAAAAGAGGTATTGATGAGATTCTCCATTGGATTGATCCAGAGCATGTTTCATTTTTACGCAAATCAAAAACTGAAAAATATTGCAATAAAACATATTTTATTGTGTACCACATGTATACCAAAAAGAATAGATAGTTTGAAGGCGACTGGCGCAACATCATTGTTATAAGCGATCAATAGTCTTAACCTGCATCATATTATCTGGATATCTGTCGTCGTTTTATTAGGAGTGTTTATAATGCACACGAGGGATATTGTTACAGATCTAACCTTGAATTTTAACTAGTTAAGGTATGTAGTGGGATTTATAGAGGCAAAAGTACAAACATAGGCGTAAATTAGTAAAAACAGAATTGATTATGGACTCGGTAAAAATGACGTGGACTCGAAATCGAATCCGAGTCCAAAAAATGCCTGGATTCGACTCGAATCCGAGTCCTGATCCAAATCCCGGCCCATCCCTACTCAAAACACGGACCTTACAGGCTGCCTTATCGGCATTCACTGCGTGCGGGTCCAGGTGAAGGTCATTTTGAGCTCGATGTCCAGATAACGAATGACTGTCAATTAAGCTACCGCGTATTTCTTACTTCACTGTTTACGTGATATATTTTTCAGATATGGCTTTGTTTCAGTCCTGTCGCATACAAGGCTGTTTCTTACTACGGGACGTCATTAATTGTAATCAACACACTGTCTCTAATTTTCATGATCGTTGCCATTCCCATGGGTTTTATAGTAATGTGGGTAATGGAAAAGTATGGACTGAGAGTTTGCATACTTCTTTGTGGTTGGTTCGGATGTATTGGAAGTCTTCTACGAATCTGCAGGTAAGGTGTTGCGTAAGTACGACGACTGATTGTTTGCATCCAAACAATGTACGTACTCTTATGTAACATGACAGTCTGTCTGTTTTCTTTGTGTTTTGGCCCATGCCGTGGATTACCGCATTATATAAGTTGACGGAAATCGCTCAGCGTATTCGGCCTTAGAAATGGGCATTTTATTGGCAATATATATATGTCCATTGTCCAACCATTTTTTTTTTTCAAAGTTGTTTCGAAGTTTGACTTTTCTGAACCAGAATAATATGAATGTGTATTAAAGTGGCGTGTGTAATATTTCCAAGATGTAATTGTTAGTCTTTGTAACAACACAACTATTAAGTATAAATACATATAAAGCACACCACTTTTAAAACTCGTTTAAAAGAGAATAACTTCAATTTAACTCTTGCACTGAAACTAAAATGATAGTTTTGTTTTGTGCCATTAAATCACATCAATTATATCAATTGCTTTTGTGTGTGCTTCGTTCGCGTTACCTATATATCTATGAATTAAAACAGAAAAATGAAAAGCTAAAAAGAAATATGTTTCCAAGGTATACAAACATTAATATCCGTTAACAGTGCACCATGCTGATTTTGACTTTCTACAGCGCGCATTTACTTTTATGACTCCATGACTCCTATTGTTTTCCATTTCCAGTACAATTGAAGGTTTATCCGACGACGAGAGGTTGGTTTTCGTATTCATTGGTCAAATAATTGCTGCTCTGGGATCTCCATTTGGTCTCTATACTCCGGCAAAATTAGCAGGCTACTGGTTTCCGGAGAGTCAAAGGACAATCGCCAATACAATAGCAGCATCATGTAATGTTTTTATTTTGTACGTGGAGGCATTTTAAGCTGGTAGAACAGGATAAAATCAGAACCCAAATAATCAGAATGAATAGGGCCACAAATTCGCCATCATTTTGTCTGTTAGTGCGTCAGTGCTGCGGTGCTTGCAAGTAGCCTTTCAGTATTGCCCTCTATTTGTTCCTGAAATTCTAGTGCGATCAAAACATTCATTATACTTTCGATGATTTGTGTGACAGACGAATTCACCGAAGGAACGACATGGTTTTAAATAGAATATTATTCCACAAAACAAATAGAAAATGCTTTTGTCAAACTTCAACCAGTTACTTGCTGGTACAGTAAAAATGTTGTTTTACTTCCTACTTCAGAACAACTTTTAAATATATATATATCACCAAATATTAAGTTTTAATTTTGTTTTTTAAGCAAACCCTGTTGGCGTCATTTTGGTTGGACTTATATCACCATTGTTTATGTTTGAAGATGGATACTATCATATGCAACTGATGGTGAGTCATTTTAATTGATATATATATATGTATGCGCAGATGATTTGAATAGAAGTTTATTTGATCACTTCAATTTTTGCATTACGTATTTCTATACTTTATTTTACTACACTGCACTTTGATCATCAAACACAAATCCGCCGCACTAATCTTTTAAATATTTGTCATAACTACGTGTTTTAACCTTTTAATTAGACTTTATGCAGCTGCAATTTCAATTACTTATAACAAAATACAATTTCTAATATATATCAATATTTTCCTAACTTTACAGCTTATTGTATACGCGGCACCTATTACTGTTGGAGCTATATTAGCGAGCATATTTATCACTTCAGATGGTCCTCAACATCCGCCATCGTACGGAGGTACGGTGAAGAAGACCGAAAAAATCTGGGGAGGATTTAAAGAAATTCTTCGAAACTCTATGTTCATGCTTCTTGCTATTTGTCTTGGAACTGGAATAGGACTTTATGCGTCATTTGCAACTTTATTGGAGCAGGTTTTATGTCCTTGGGGCTATACTGATGTAAGTTATTTATACGAATAATCGTTTATCTCTATCCATTTTTATGATTCCCGGGTGCTTCACTGGGCATTACAGCCTGATTGTTAAAATAAATTTATTTTCTCAGCAAATGGCGGGAGTAAGTGCAAGTGTACTAACTGCATCTGGAATAGTCGGGGCTATCATTATAAGCACGGTTGTTGACAAAACGAAGAAATTTACAGAAGCTCTGAAATCTGTTTATTTTCTAACGGCACTCGGGGTTATACTTCTTAGTTTCGTAAGTATCTTTCAATATTCAATGCTTAGATAAAAACATCTTATCTAACTTATATTACCTTCATACATTGCTTGTTCGAATAAGAACATTTTTATAGTGTCCTAAATTCTGTATCACTTCCAGTTTGACAACCGCTTTACCCGATATCTTCAAAACAATTTCAACACAATAATCAAACGCCATCAGCTAAGTTGTATTTATCGTTCTTAATTCAATGACTAATTTTTCGTACAAACATTTTTGTGCAGACCCATTACATTTATATGGGTTATGGAATTGTCGGTGAAGTTGCATTAATCGGCTTTTTCGCTTTCACTATTTATCCGGTTGGAGCGGAAATTGCTGCAGAATGTACTTATCCTATTGGAACAGGACTGAGCACAGGAATTATCCAACTATCCGGGTGAGTTCTACGAATTAAATCAGAAATAATTGATTACTTGGATTTACTTACTACTGAACACATCTTGTCAACTTCTGATGGAATATCGTTTAATAATTTGTTTATTTCTCATCGTTTCGTTTTTTGCATAGTTTCCATATTATTCAGCCGCCGATATGAACTTTTTTGTTTTACGGTTTGGTAAAATATCATCTTTAACAGACAACTACAAAGCGTTGTATTGATTCTGGTGTTATCAGTAATTGGTCAACCAATGGAGCCAGAGCAGGTTATTGAAAATAATTCACAATGTCATCATAACAGTACGATAGATGAACAGACTGGAGGAGACGACAATACTTATGACATGCGAAGTTAGTTTGCACATAAAAGTGTTATATATCAATATTTTACCGTTTTATTTATTACATAAATACAACAAAATGCCACATCTACCTTGGGCGCAATATAGTCTAACTCTAGTTTATGTCCAGATAATTGAATGTAGTGCCTGTGCTGCGTGATTTCTATACCAAACAAAACTATACATATTTTCACAGTTTCTGTCTGGGTGTGCGCCGGTTTGATGACATTTACATCTCTTATATTGACCATCTTTTTCCGGCCTAAATACTTGAGAATGGAAGCTGAAAAAGAGCACAATAATGCGATGTACATGAGGAGGAAATCACACATTCCTGGATTGGCTAATGGCTACGCTAACGGGGGACTCGAGGCTGAGGATGGAACTGATTCCATCACTACTGAGAAGGATGGATCTATCAGTACTATTCCTGAAGAATATCACATCACTCCCTGCTAGATCATGGATTTGGCTATTTCGCTAATAGCATACTAGTTTATCAAATGTATGCATACGATAGAAGGGTACCAAGACATGTTAATTAAATGGCACAATATGTTGTATCTTGTATGGTTCAAATAAATAAATAAATTCATAATTTCTTGCTTTCTTTCACGCATACAAATGGCGGTTGACGCAATTGTCAAAATATTACGCGGTGCAGATTTATATAGCAGTCGAAAAAATTTAAGACGTTAAGTATATATTGCACGCATTTGACAAGTTGGCATTCAGCCTATCTGATAAAGTAAACAGATACACGTGTTTGGTATATTGCGTCGTATCGTATATGCTGCCCTTTAAGTGCAAAGTTTTGTTCGTCAGTTTGGGCCATGCTGATCTGACTGATTTCAAGTAAATAACTTCAAGACGAAAATGGGGAGAATTGTATATTCCTGAAAAATATTACGAATATGTTCATAAATGCAATACCAGCTTCAAATTAACGGAGCGCGATGATGCACTATTGAGAGACCCACTTAAACCTTTAGAAAGTTGAAAACACTAATAAAATTAAAACCCGGATATCCCCCTCCCTTTCAGTCGGGTATGAACTCATGTAATCTTATATATACCTGCCATGTATGTTTCTCCGAGCATCGACTTTCTTGTTCACTTCAGTAACATCGGCTAATCAGCACGATGCTCGTTTTGACGTAACAATTGAAGTTTATCGGCCACTTAGGCACTTCTTCACCCAGGTATGAGCTTGGATGGTATTTCACGAGTGTTCTGGAGAGTTGACACTCACAAACTGATTTATTTGCTCGGGACCATTTTTTTAGTAAAATATACAACCACGTGCCGCTCACAGGTATTAATAGCTAACTTTAGCCTGGTCCATCGCGGCTTTTCTGAAATTCAATTTTGATTATTGCAACTAAACTAAAGAACACTGGAAGAAATAATGACAATTAAAATACTTTATTTACAACTAATTTTTGGAAACACAACTGAAAACTAACATACAACGCGCAAAACCGCGAAAACGAGGCAATGTTTACAACCGCTCTGAACTATCAGTGGGATCAGTTTGTTTGTAATGGTTTCATCAATCATACTCTGACACCAAAGATTTAAATAAAAATGTTCACTATTCCTATGATGATCATTGTTCGCCTTGTATTGTAGACACGATTCCCAAGATGTGAATTAATAAAATTTTCCTATCGATTGACCCTTTTGTTTAAGTCAGAAATGTTTTTAAATCCCATCTGCTAAAACTTAATTATTGATAAATATACTTAGGCCTATAAGTATTAAAATTTTTGAAATGCAAGTTTGTTAAAATCACAAACATATATATATATATCTAATACGGTAGTTAAGTAGACATAGCGTGCTAAAAAAGCGACAGTTATGTAGACGGAAAAATTGTGTAGACATTTTCCTGTCCGCTTAATTATTCCACGTTCCATAATTAAAACGTTTTGCGATATTTTGCTGAAATCTTTTTTTCTCTGATAAAACAATATCAAAAATAATATGTTCTTTCAATATTTTTTTCAAATAATTGCACATTTTCGCCAACTTTAATGGGACAGTAGTTCTGCTGGTTTATAATCAACGGGTTTAATTTTTGTACATAAAGTGGACATTTTATTTATGCAAAAATCTTTTAATTTTTCGGTATATGTTTTTACGATTTTTGGAGAGTAAGTTTGATAATTTTGATACAATAACCAGGCAGAACATGAAGATCGTCCGTTCTGTTTTTTGCAATATAAGCTCAATAAACTGAAAAGGACCTCAATTCACAACTCCGTACTAAAGAGGCTTTGTGTCGCAATAGTAAAACTGTCGGGTTCGCCGAGAACTTTACCACGTTTGCCGTTTTGTTCGCAAGTAACCTGGGCGCCGTGAGGGGATTGGGATCTTCATGAGTGCGTGATTGCCGAAATTTAGATAAAATAGAACAGTTGTGTTTGGAGAAGCGATCCAAGTCTTTTGTGTCAGGTGTTATCAGCTACCCAGTGAGTTGAAGTCGAGTCATAATAAGCAAGGATTTCAACGTCACCGAGGAATGCTGCTGGAAATCATCACTCATCGGATAAGGTGATTAGTCATAACGATTTTTAATATTAGGGTTACTATATTTTTGGTGTAGAGATTTTTCACGTAATCCAGATTATCAAAATATAGACTACTGATACTGTTATGCTTTTACTGGTCGTAGTTCTGATCTGACCATCAAAATAATGCTACGACTGGGTTTGCGTTTGTATGAGTGTGTAATTCAGAAGGATTCCAAATCCAGATGAAAATACAAACGAAGATTGTGAAAATTCAATGAATTCAATTTTTTGTCGAAAAAGAAGGATATACGAGAAGCGAGTGGTTGACGTTTGTATAGTTTGGTGTAAATAAAAATATCTAATACACCGCTCCATATTAGATTAAAATATTTCATCTTCGGAAAACAGTTTTGAAGAATTGCATTGCTAGCAATTTTGTTTTGTGATTTGGCACATATCCCTGAGTTATTTTACCATCCTCGTCTAGTTATTTACTGGGCTGTATTTTTTGTTCACATTTAGGTGACTCTCCAACGAGATGGCCCACGTTTCAGAACTTGGCAGACGGAAATGCGGGTAGTGATTCGGAGAAAGCTGTGCCAGGAGGTGACTAAATGAGTTTGCTATGCTTGTTTTTTTTATTAAATACAGTATCGTAAATTGATACCAATGAATGGTAATAAACCAAATCATAATATCATTTGTAGCCCATCACAAATAGCGCAGCTATCTACGAATAATTGTAGTGCACCTTTTAGAAACTCTGGTTTATTTGAGTAATAATGCAATTATCCATTTCAAACATTTCGTTTGTTCGATCAATCAAGAGTAGCGTAATTCTGAATTGGACTAAAACACTGTGATGATGTTTTGTGACTTATGCATGTATTTTTGACCAAAGTTTCAGATAAGTCAACAGACTATACCGCACCATCTTCAGAATCACTTTCAATAAGCAATGTAAGTGATTTCAAAGAAAACCATATATATGGAAAAGAAAAAGGCTGTAAATCAATTAAAAAAAAAAGCTTTTACAAACGCGAACCAGAAAAGAAACGACGAAAAGAAAAATATTTGCACGGATTGGTATATCTTGCGAGAAGTTTATTGTAAAGCTTTAAGACATCTCTGTATAATTCATAAAGATGAACCGGCAGTGAGCATAATCTTGTCTCTCCTCAACACTTAACCTAGTGGGCATATCCACATTCGTATACATACTTAGCATACATTTTTACTATTTAATTATAAATTCAAAATAACAATCATGTTTTTGTATTCCGAGTTGGTGCAAAAATTTTAAATAAATTGTGCAAAGATTCTAAATTGATATTGAGGTTCAATAATTTCATTTTGATCGCTTGTATAGTTGACTGTATAATCAATCACTGCTATAATTAGGCGCCCTGATAGGTAGACATTTGAGTTATAATTGGTGTAATGTTTCTCATTTTAGTTGACATGGCAAAATTTCGTTTCGCATTTATAGGCCCCACTGAAAAAGTCACTTAATTGAACATTTGAGATATGTTGTGTATAATGTTTCTCGATATTTTATTCAGAATTTCGTGTTTTAATTATATACCCTCTGAAATGGTCGGAGCTTGAAATTTTTTTTGAATGCTTCTCAATATTATTGCCATTCCAAAATATCATTTTGCATTTACATGACGCACTTACGTAGCTGAGTAGGTTACGATCTGCGATTTATTTTCTGTTTTGTTTTTCAATATGGTTTCAAAATTTTGTTTTATAATATTTGTCACTCTCAAGTTATCGAATAGGTGAACATTAGAGATAAATTTTGAGCAATTTTCCACAACACCAAAATATGATTAGTATTCGAAATTTCGTATTTCAGGTAAATTTCACACACTTAAGTGTGTGAGATATATTTTGTGTAAGATTTCTCAATACGATTCCAGAATTTTGTTTCAATAGTTGTATGCCACACTTAGGTGGTCGGATATGCGGACATTTGAGATATATATTTTGTGTAATGTTTCTCAATATTATTTCAGAATTTTCATTTCAATTTTTGTATGCCCCACTTAGGTGGTCGGAATAGGTGACATTTGAGATATACTTTTGTGTAATGTTTTCTCAATATGATTTCCGAGTTTTCATTGTGATTTGTTTTATGCCACACTTAGGTGGTCAGATAGGGTGAACATTTGAGATTATACTTTGTGTAATGTTTCTCAATGTGGATTTCAGAGTTTTCATTGGATTGTTTTATGCCACACTTAGGTGGTCGGATAGGTGGACATTTCAGATATACTTTGTGTAATGTTTCTCAATATGATTTCAGAATTTTCATTTCAATTCTTGTATGCCACACTTAGGTGTCGGATAGGTGGACATTGAGATATATAATTTGTGTAATGTTTCTCAATATGATTTCAGAGTTTTCATTGTGATTGTTTTATGCCACACTTAAGGTGGTCGGATAGTGTGGACATTTGAGATATACTTTGTGTAATGTTTCTCAATATGATTTCAGAATTTTCATTTCAATTCTTGTATGCCACACTTAGGTGGTCGGATAGGTGGACATTTGAGTATATATTTTGTGTAATGTTTTCTCAATATGATTTCAGAGTTTCATTGTGATTGTTTTATGCCACACTTAGTGTCGGCATAGGTGGACATTTGCGATATACTTTGTGTAATGTTTCTCATATGATTTCAGAATTTTTCATTTCAATTCTTGTATGCCACACTTAGGTGGCCGGATAGGTGGACATTTGAGATATATTTTTGTAATGTTTCTCAATATGAATTCAGAATTTTCATTTTAATTTTTGAAAGCCACAATTAGTGGCCGGATAGAGTGGACATTTGAGATATACTTGTGTAATGTTTCTCATTTACGATTTCGGAATTTTCATTTTAATGTTCATGCCACACTTAGGTGGCCGGATAGTGGACATTTGAGATATACTTTGTGTAATGTTTCTTCAATAAGATTTCAAGAGTTTTCATTTTGATTGTTTTATGCACACTTAGGTGGTCGGATAGGTGGACATTTGAGATATACTT